GCAGTTTGACCTTCGCAGATTTTCTGAATTAGCCTGTAGCTTTGCATCGGGCAATCTAATCTTTCTTAGCCATTTCCTATCTATAATACTTCCTGCGAACGACTCGGTGGATGCTGGATGACGGCGGTGCAAAGAGGAAGAGGGTGGGTCTCAAGAAGACCGGTACAGGGGGCGTAATGGAGGCTAGTTAAACATTAAACATCCCCTGATACCTTGCTAACCCCTTACTAACCTCAGTTAAGGTGTATGCAAGGTATACAGCTCTAGGTGGTTTCCTATGCCTTACGGACCTCCGTATACATTCTTACTAATTGACGTCCTGCGCTTCTGCATTATGCACTTGCGATTACTCCCCGGCGGTTTCTTACTAAAATAATATATCCGATCGAAGGATGTGTTTTTTTCGAAAAAAAAACAACTGGCTACTTTGCACAATCAATATTATATAAACATATATGAAGATACTTATTCCTTTTTGTATGTGCACATCTTGCAATTAAATGATTATGTAAAAGTAGTGTAATCAATGGGTTCGTAATTAAAAAGTAGTATAAAATTTAATTTCACCTTCCAACTGGTAGAACTTTTATTAGTTTATATTAAAATTATGAAAATCGGTGAATGAAATGGTAGGATAAGTAACATTTTCGACCATAATGAGATCATGAATTCTCTTAGAGCTTGATAACAATGAACGTAATGAAGACATCCCCAAGGAGTACGTACTACCGAGATACATTGTTAATACGACTGCTGAGTAGGGGTTTGTCGTTTAGATAGGTGATTAGTACACTATCGAACACGCCTCCAATTCTACTGAACAGACAGAATTTCTTACCTACTGATACTACTCTCAGACTTAAGTGTTCCCATAAGGGAAAGAAAGGAAATGCTTTCCTCTCGTTAACTTTTTCATGCCACTTCTTATACAAGCTAGATCGTCTAACATTGCGAAGATTAATCAAATATGAATAGGAATTTTTACAGAACTCTTATATGAATTAATTTATTTGCAAAATGTGTAGAAGGCATTTTTCTATATAAAATGGGTGAAATTTACACGTTATCTATTTTTCTTCGGTGATGAATAAAAAAAGGAATTTACTTTGAGAGTCGTAAACATGATTAAAGATTTCTCGACGTAGGAGAAAATGGATTTCTAATACGCGTAATGCTACCCTATTTGGAACTATTACGCGTAAGTCCCCAAGTAAGCTCCCTATATCCGTTCAACCCCCTAGTCGACGTATATCTGTATTTACTAAATCAGAAGGTATTTACTTGCAATTTTGTGCTCTTATAAAACACATTGATAACGTGTAAATAGTTAAAAAAGTTCTTTAATGTCATAGTGATAACAATTTTATTGATCAAAATAATTACATAATTATAAAAATTAAAATGTACTAATACACAGCACATAGCAAATTTTAATTAAACGAAATTACAAATTGTTATTTGTACAAAAAATATAAATCTACTCACACCTAAATACCAAATAACAAAAAAAATAAAACAGAAGATTCATTAACGCAACAAACAAAAAACATTTGTAATATAAAACTTTCTTCTCGAAGTTTCCAATTCGAACACGTATCTTTTGACGAATTGTTTTCTCGAAAGGCAGAAAGAAAAAGGAAAATAACATCCGTATCCACACTGGGAGGAAAATTGCTAATTGGTACAAGGGAAGTATTAACAAACCGCTGCACAGGAGCCGATGATTTACTGCAAGGGTTGATTGAATTTATTCGCTTCTGTTTACCTCTCCCTCTTCCTCCCTCGCTCGTGTACATATCACGAGCCTTCGATATTTAGCTTTCTTTTTTTTATCGGTGTCGTTTATTTCTTTTCACTCGTTCACTTATCCGCACCAATGTTGCGAAGATGTATATCAGTATGGTCCAGAACTGATCGTGGTATCAAAATATTGAACAATTCTGGTAATTTAATTTTATTCTACAACCTTTGTTTTTCAATAAACATGAAGTACCATAATTATTTGGATAAGTATAAAATAATACTTATTATTATGTAGTTTTCGTAAAAACTTCATATTTATCAACATTCTCAATTTCGTACACAAATCACGATCTGAATTTTGACACAAAGTGGAGAAATGGCAGATCGAGGTCAATTTTGGACCACACTTGTATATTGTAAAACTGGAAATAGCGAACGGTGTAGGTTTTCCGCTACATGCCGTTGCCACTCCATCTACCCCACCCCCACCGCATACAACCCCTACACTTTCGACTGCACGTTGCTTCGTTTTATTTTCATTTTAGCCGAGGCAACGGAAAGGTATTCGCTACGATTCGATGGTAGGTTGGGAATGATTTCTCAATCGGTCGGCCTTTGTATATTTTATTCCGTGTCAATTCGTTAGCAATCGAATAACAGCCAATACGGCGAGAATCAAACGATTCATTCGATTGTATTCCTCTGCCAAACACTTTAATTGTAACGTTGCTCTGTTTGCGACGATCATTCTCTTAACACAATAAATTGTAATTAAATAAAAAGAAATTTTCTATTATTTTCAATTTAATCGCGATCATTTTGTTGAGTTTATATTGTTAAATTTTCTTTATTTAAAAGAAGGAAGATATTAATAATATAGGGATAATATGTTAAACAACAATTCAGAATAGATTTCACCGTAGGAAGTGGTGCATGCTCGCGGAAAGCATCGCTGAAGAAGAAAAATCTAATAGATGATCGAAATCGAATTGGAACCCCCCCTATAAGAAACTAGCCCTTCCACCCTTCTTGCTCGTATTCGCGTTACAACATTGCCGATACTGTCGCCCCATCGAGCTCCGAATAAAATCCAGTTCGCATTTGAATCAGTCAGTAACGCAATCCATTAGCCCCTAACAGCCAATACTCGGAGGACAGCATGGATAAAAATGACTTTAAAAAGGTAAAAAGAAAAGAGGGACAGAGTGATACAGATACGAGACAGGGTGTCGCGAATCATTAGTATTTTCTATAAGTAGATTCTATACAATAGGGATGCTCTCATCGTTTTTCCAATTCGATTGATTGAAAATATGTTTATAGATGAAGGGTGGTGTTTAACTAATTACTTAAATTGGTTTCACTGTGAAATTATTTATTTTGCAATACATTATACATATTTCATTCTTCACTTATTTTTTCACATAGATTCAGCCCGTTTTCGTTTGTACACCCCGTATCACCAGACAGCTAGTATTTTTGCATCGTTTCACGTACACACAGGTACCTTACAGGCATGGTCGATAGGGTTCGTATCTGCGAAAGACCAGAAGCCCGTCGTCGTTCTCCACGCCTCAGGCACGACAGACATCGTGTTTAGTGCAAGATCCACAGCAGCCGATAAGCTAAAGTACAATGCTTTGAATACCCATCCAGCATCTTGATAAGATCTTAACGTCCTCTAAGAGTAAACGAAATTAAATTCGCTCGACGCTCTAAAAGCAGCCGAGTGGCAGCCGTTAACACGAACCTAGAGGTATATAGAGTCCATGGATACGGGATAGATACGAAAAGCATGAAACTGGAGATCGATACGTTTCTTTCCCTTTCTCTTTCTCTTTCCCTATACCCTCGCCGCTGTTCTTCCTCCACCTTCTCTCTTTATATATCCCGCCAACATTCCCTTCCGTAGGTACTCTCTACACCGGAATAAGGGAGGATTCCGATCGGCTTTCAATTTTTTTTCTTCTTTTCTTTCTTTTTTTACTTTTCACTTTTCGAGCTATATGGATTTCGTGCCAAACGTCCAAGTCGGCTGACAAGTAGCGCAGGATGACGATAAAAGTGTCGTCTAGGTAGTCGAGCGTGGGTAATGCTCGATAATACACAAGTTCGATGCCATTATTGATACATAAAAATTCATAGTTACATATTATTAATTAGCTGAAATTACCATTAAATTTTAATTAGTAATTACAAATAATTTGAGGTCGAATTTTTCTGTTTCATTTTAAATTTTTATTCTAATTATTCCAACCTTGTAGTATTTACTATGTTTTAAGTATATCGTCCATATTTACCTCTTAACGCGAAGAACGCAGAAAACAACAAAGACAAAGAGATACGACGTCGATACGAATTGAGGCGACGAATAGAAATCAGACGAATTCCTCCTACAGTTTCACTTGGATGTTCCACGCAAACAAGAAAGCAAAGAAAAGAAAAAAAAAGCAAGCACCACCGCTTCTAGAAGGTATGCGTTTGATTTTTCGATGGAGCCCCGAATCGTATGGACGCACGAAGGGGAATGACAATGGCGTCCCATGGGAGGAGAGGCCTACCAACCACCCAGAAAACTACCCCTTCGTTCCTCGAACCTCTTCATCGTCTCGGTCCTCCTGATTGTTTCCTATGAGTTTTCTCTACTCTCTCGATCTATAGGAATATTTGTGTTTCACTCTCTCTTAACTTTGTCTCTTCGAAGAACTCTTTCTTTCCTTTTCATCCCCGTCAACACGAACATGGATATTCTGGCTCTACAGAAATTTCCTCAAATTCAATATTCCTCTGAAATTCTACATAATTCATAGAAATTGAGCCATCGTAGAGTGGAGTATTTTCACAGAAATGTTGGCCAAATCTTGAAATTTTTAAAATAGAAGCAACTTTTTCTAACTAATTTGAAATTTCATATAATTATGCTTATAAAAATATCTTTCTTGTCGAGAAAAATATTTTTAAAACTGCCTATTATTTTGAGACCGCCAGACTGGCTCAACCCCTTAATAAAGTATATTTTTTCAAGAATCACCCTTTTGGCATTTGAGTTGCTGTACGGTCCTAAAGGTCGTAGAACACATGCTGGGGGATTTAATCTAAAGAAATACTGAATAATAGAAGCGAATAGAGCGAAACTTGCGATTGCCTAATGCAACATTTAGACTTTTTAATCAAGTTCGCGTCTTAATTAAGTTCTTGACGTTGAAGAGCGTTAAGCACCTTGTCAACCGTTTAACTTTCGTCCCTTCTGCTTTCAGATTCTTCCTCAAGTTCTTCCTCAAGTGCAACCAAAACTGCCTTAAGAATGCCGGCAATCCCCGCGATATGAGACGCTTCCAGGTGAGTTAGCACATAAACCTTTAATGAACGGAGCGTTTAAGACTCGTTATCTTTTTTATTAGTTCACTGAAAATAGAGCACCATATAATAGAAAAAGGGAAACGATTATGTAATATAAGTTATTGAAAATATTTCAGCAAATAGGATAATTAGCAGAAAAATGTTTTATTAAATTTATTTAAACTTTATGATAAAAATTAAATATTTTATAAGATTCTAATTTTTTCAAAATATGTCAGCCTTGAAACTAAACTTCCAAGTTGCCACCCCTGGTGTACGAACGGGTATCTTCCACTTAAAGGCATTCTTTTTTAATTTTTTAAAAGAAAGGAAAAAGTATCGTTGAGGAGACAGCAATTTCTCGATGGTCGGCCACCGTCGAAAGTTGAGATCCCCATCCAAAAGGACGTAATCCAAGGGGTTGGCAATTAGCTCAGCGCAACATCAACCGACCCACCCCTGTGTAACCGTTCACCCTTCCACCCCCCTACCTTTGGTATAACGGTCATTCCTACTCACCGACAGCCGTATCTCGCCACCCCGTCTATGTCCATTTCGAGAGACAAAACGCAAAATTAAAAAATAAATGACAAAAAACTTTCTTACCCACCCTTTTCTTTCATTTCTATCGGATTCGTTTGTCTTATCGCATGATTACTATAATATATCTGTAGGATCTTAACTTGGAAATATCTTATAGCTTTAAAAACCAAAATTAACCCTTTGAGTGTCACATTAGTAACATGAAAAATTCTTTCATTTAGTAGGTAATTATGTTAATAATATTTAACACTTTTTATTATCTAATTTCTAACTGATTCTTGTTTATATATGATCCAAAGAACACTGGATAATTTTGTTATTTCAAAAGAATATTAAAAATTGAAACTATTTTCAAGGATTCCTTTGTGCCTCGAATATTAAATAGCATAATTAAGTGCTCTATTTTCAGTAAACTTTATAAAGAAATATCCAATTACACTGATTATAACTGACATTTATATGGTACGTTATGTAATTATCAGAGTTCGTTTATTTGTCCTATCGTACATTCGCCGGGAACGTTGAAACCAAAAGGAAACCAAAGTTAAAGTGCTTATCGCGCCTCCAAATTTGTTTAGGAATTGCTTATTGCTCGAAGTTACGAATTAAAATTTTAGCGTTACGCTTTCGCCTTCCTCGAGGAATTTCCTCTCGCGGAAAGCCGTCAGGTTTATTCTCCTCACCCTTGGTGTTGGGGCAAGTTTGCACGACGTTACGCGCCAGGTAATAGGGCCAACCAGCCAAGAAAATTGCGAACTTGTGAAAGGACAAAACTTCGGGCATTTACCGACCGCCCAGTCGATTTTATAAACGTTCTTTCTACTTTCTTCCGAAAATCATCGTCCCCTTGTTTGCACCCCTCGAACTCCAGGCTAACCACGTGACTTGTTTCAATTCACCAAAAGTTTTACTCGTAAAAATATTTTTTTTAAACGATCATAAAATATGAATTAGATATTATTTATAATTATGATCAAGCATGTTCATTAGCATATCGTGTTCAATATGAAGAAATATTTAATAGAATAGATGTTTAGCTTGGTTCGTACTATGCGAACGTATTCCAAGGCTCAGCTTTAATGAGATTATCTTCGTACGTTTGTACGATAGCGTATCTATCATACGTGCAAATAGGGGGTCACGGGAGTCACGGAATGCATGGTGAATACGCATAACGCGATACAGCAAATCCAGACTGCATAGCTACTTCACGAGAGATATGATTAACATATGCAGAGCAGCACACGTATGTGTGTAAATAAAATTACACAACATAATTGGCGACATAGTTTCGACGTACACGCCCTTTCACATTCTATTATACTTATCAGTGCTTTCATTAATTTAATTACACCGCGACATGAAACTGTCTATCGTTCTGTTTAATCGTTTCGATGTAAAATTAAAACTATGACTATTAGGCAGGAAAGAAAAATTGCAGCCATTTAATGATTTGTCGAATTTTCATCGGAAATCTAACTTGGACGAATTTCAATCTTCTGTAACAGGTGGTCATTTCCACGCAAGTAGGAGTAGAGGGACCGCTACTGGCAGTCTCGGACAACATGTTCGTTCACAACAACAGCAAACATGGTCGTAGAGCGAAACGATTAGATCCCAGTGATCCCGGCGAATACAACAGTAAGTATGATTAACTATAAGCATATAAAAAAGATATTGAAAACTTTAACCCTTAGACGGCGGACCATGAAGAGAGTCCCATATTTGGTTCAATATTATTTTCATTTTCTAAATTTTGCGTTGTTCCTTTAAAAATTATTTTTCCAAAATATGACACCCAAAATTCGGGTCATGATCTTGTAATTTCTAATACTGAACCTAATAATTATTCTACAATCCAAATGAAACATTACGAGCTCTCAAACACAAAGATCCTAAATTACGTTCCATCTGAAGGCCACGATTAAACATGCACGTAAATCGATTTATTGTCGCCATTTACAATTGGAAGTTTCTGATATCCCGTGCAGCGTTTCCCCTCATTGCGGAATCCTCGAACGAAAGAAGAGGATAGGATGGGGTTGGTTGGTTGGTTGGTTTCTTCGAGATCGGTATAACGACTGTAGAGGCGTAGCAGAGGATAGAATGGCGCGAGAAGAAAGGAGAGGGTGAGCTCGGAGGATAGGATATAAGGAGTCATAGGGCAATTCAGCAAAGTTTGGCGTCGGCCGCGCATACAAACGGCTGATATCGTGCGGCCACCCCTCGACAACGCGCGTTCCTCCTCTTCTCCTAGCCTTCTTCGTGCCTTTCTTCCTTTCCTGTGCCGCGACGAGATGTAAATCAATGGGATGCGGGGAAAACGAGGGATCCACCACGTTCTCTGTGTTCCTCCTACCTTTTTCCTCTCTCTCTCTCTTTCTCCGTAGGTTACAGGCTTTCTTTCCGCCCTACCGTATCTTTTCGCCTTTCCTCTCTTTGTCTGCTCGGCTGCCATCAAGCGGAAAGACGCGAACGGAACGAGGGTAAAACGAAAGAGGAACGGAGAAAAACGACTCGGAATTGCCAGTCTCTCGCTCTTCTTCGTTTCTTTTTTTTCCCTCCCCCAACAACCTTACTCTGTTCTCGCAGTGGTTGCTGTGGGGTGTTGGTTTGTGAATGCTAAGTTTAAGCTATCTCGAACCATCCTCTCGGCTTTCGCAACTGCTGTGACGCCATGACGGTACCACTCTTTCCAAATCCCCTTGCGAGTAACTCCCAAAACGCTGAAACGAGCATACCAATGAGAGTAAAAGGGGAGAAACAAAGTGGAAGGACAGAGTGGGAGGGAAAGAACGGTCAAAGTGAACGTGTTGTAACTTTTGCTGGAATTGCGGATGATTTTTTTGCTTGGTCGTTCTTTTTTTTCTTTTGAAATCAAAGTTTGAAACTCGATGAAGGGTGGTAAGCCAAAACGAAGTTTTTACAATTTTCGAGTGGTTGACATTTGTTTTCTAAAGTAGCTGTGTCATATATACAAAAACTTTATTATAAAATTGTTTTGAAATTTAATTAAATTCATACACTAATGAAATTTCAGAAATACATTCCTAAGGGTAACGCAAGAATACTATTTTTAGAATTGAGTTTCGAGTCTCCTAGCAAATCCACTCCTTAAAAATTGATAATTTGCAAATTTAAAAATTGAATAAAGTAATAAATGATTACATAAAATTTCAACAAATAGGAAAGGCTACTCGCAAGGGTGCTGTGGCTATCATAACCCGAAGAAGGGTTAAAGTGTTCAAGTAGAAAGGAAACTACTTGATCGTAAAATATGAAGTTAATAATACCGGTTCGCGGTGAAAGTGAAAGCAACTTTTTGCCCGAAGAAGTTCTCGCCTCTTTATCGGGGTGAACGAAGTTATCGCACGATCCTACAGTGATCAGAGAGAATCGGGCCGAATGTGTTAAAGTACAACGGTTCTTCGACTTCGGCGACGGTTTGCCGGGTAAAAGAGAGAAGAAGGAAGAAGCTCGAGGGGATAGAGGGTAACACCCCTTACCACTCACCAGTGGCATGGGGGATTTTATTTATTCCGGGTTGGTACGCTTGTTCCGGCCTCCTCCACTGAATCCCTCTTTTCAACCCTCTTCCTCCTCTTGCGCCTCTTTCCACTTTGCCTCTTCCTACTTTTCCGCTTCATACCCATTCCTCCCGGCCGACAATTCTCCAACGGGGTGGTTGCCAACGTGGCCGACTCTGTTTAACGACTTTCTTGTACATTGAACGCAATAAATACCTGTGTCCCATTCAAGAATCCCCATTTACACTCGAATTGCGACTCTTCAGCTTTGTATCGCACTCGTGTACTTAAATTCCTAAGGACAAGCGACGGGAATGAATAAACTATCATATCATTTCGAAAATCTTCGTGCATTTTATTAAATCTTTAAATAAAAAGAAGTATCTTATATTGATTTTTAATATTTAAATAACACTGTGTTATTAATTTTTACTTTTATTCTTTGATTAATGGGTGAATGAATGATAATTATTATCATTCATATTTCAGTATTTCATATATTTTTCCTCTAAATTTCATCCAACTAGGTACGTGTATACATTTTATAGGTATGGGCTAAGTAGGTTAGGTCGCGATTGACCCGTAACGGGTCCGTCGTTCGAAGGGTTAATATTATTTCCTGAACGAGGGAAAACATTGTTCGAATACAATATCCAGCGTCGAGATCTCTTAAGGCATTAAGATTTACTAGCTGAAGCAGGCGTAAGCACCCAAGGTGGAAACTGTTTGAGCATCACTGGGAGCAATATACCATGATGTCAGCCACTCTGCCGTGGCTCCGTTCTGCCAGAGGCGGTACCGGGGGTGGCTTGGCTTCGCTGGGGTACAAAATGATATCATTGGGTTATAAATTCCAAGCAGAGACACCGGCAGCCCGATCGTTCCCCTTCCTTCTTGTTACAACCCTTCTCCAACTACTTCGACCCCTCGGTCTCTTCCTTCTATCCTCTTTTCTATCCCCTTTCTCTCTCTCTTTCTCTTTCATAGATTCTCTGTTAGCCTCCTTTTTCTGCTTTCACGACATCCTCGTGGCGTGAGTTTGCCACGGAAAATATATGTACCACGAGGCCTCGACCGAATAAACAGAATTTTCAGATAATTTTCCGTGTCCCAACCACCCTTCAACTAACTGTCTCGGTTCAACTCGTGCAATCCGGGAAATTCGTGTAATTTCTTGACTTACTTTCTCTTTTACGACCTTTTTAACCCCTCTATTCGTTATTGTTTTCGTGATTTCGAATACCGTGGAAACTTGATTATCCGAACAAATCGTAACACACGTTACTCTGTTTTCATATGAAAGGAATTTATGATTTTCTATAATAATAAATTTTTGAATAACTAACTTTCTCTTAAAATTGAGGATAATTAAATTGATCAGTTAATAATTTACTGAATAATTAATGTAAATTATATTCTTCTGAAAATTAGGTCTTTATACACCTGTACCTCTCCAAACACCGTGCATAAAAGCGATATCACCGAACGAAGGATGGACTTCTGGTGGATCCACGGTTATAATTATCGGTGAAAACTTCTTCGATGGGCTTCAAGTAGTTTTTGGATCGATGTTAGTTTGGAGCGAGGTACGTAACTCTTTTTATTTATAAAAAATAATTTTATACGTTCAATACAATGTATTATTCTAATATAAATTTAATTTCTGCTTTCAGTTAATCACACCGAACGCAATCAGAGTGCAAACTCCTCCACGACAGATACCTGGTGTAGTCGAAGTCACGCTTTCTTATAAAACTAAACAGTTTTGTAAAGGAGCACCCGGAAGATTCGTTTATGTTTGTAAGTATAATTATTATACTTTAAACAAGGAATATGGAGCAATAGACATTGGAAATAAGGTATTCTTTCTTATCAATCTTTCAGCCCTAAATGAACCCACGATCGACTACGGCTTCCAAAGGTTACAGAAACTTATTCCCCGACATCCTGGCGATCCAGAGAAATTACCGAAGGAAATCATACTGAAAAGAGCGGCAGATCTTGCGGAAGCTCTATACAGTATGCCTAGAAGCGGAAACACAGGGATCACAGGAGCACCTAGGAGTCCAGGATCGGGTCATCCCCCTGCACCTCCGACATCCAGCTCGGCGACGGCGTTCAATTCGTATACAGGACAACTCGCAGTGACGGTACAAGAAAATGGCACTGCCGCAAAATGGACGGATGGTAAGTATTAGAATAAGAAATGCAAAACGGTGTCAGTTTAATTAACGATAGCTTTTATTGAAAATTAAAAAATATACATTAAAATACATTATAGTTTGTAGTATACCTTATCTTTATTTTATTGAATTTATTTGACTTATTCATATTTTCTTCTTGTACGTGACATTTTTATTGTATATTATACGAACACTGTTCCGCCGTGTTAAATTTTGGTGTAACATGCATCTTCTTGTTTCGGTGCACTAGGCAACACGAAATGAACAGAATGACGTTATACTGACGAGTTCGTCTGACGGGCAGGTTTCTATTTCTAGACGGTAGTTCCGTGACGACAGGAGCCGGTGCTGGAGGCGGTGGCGGAGGTGGTGGTAGCGTTGGAGGAAGCGTCGGTGGTAGCACTGACGCATATAGGCAAAGCAGCAGTGCGAGTCCACGTGGGGTCGTAACCGGTGGTGGTTATTGCGGAAGTTCAGCCAGTACACCTCACAGTCACAGCACAAACGGAAGTTATTCGGTGGCCAATCCGTATACTGGTAGTCCGACTCTTTATACATCGCGTAAGTATTTTCTCTAGTATCGTCATACTTTTGCATACACTTAAGAGTAAGGAAAAATGAAATCAGGGACCATTAGAAAACATTATTGTTTAATATGTTATGATAAAAGCGGATGATCAGTGAATATGAATTATTACTACAATGTAGAAATTAACAATCTGTGAGTTTATTATTTTCAAACGAATGATTTCTTTTACATTTATTCATCCACTTACATCATAACAGATATACCCTATTACGCATGTTCTATGTGAATACATATACACATGAAATCCCGACATGCATGCGCTTCTTATATATGTGTTCCAGTTTTTTCCATTCAAACTGTTTTTCACAACTTTTCATTAAATGAAAAGTCCTACATGAATTTTGATTTCCGACACCTCGCCGTTCCTCATTATTCTTTAACGGGAGAAAATTGGGACACTCTGTACATTAAGTAGTACTTCGTTGTGACGCATGCACTTATGATTTTTCCTTATGTGAAATTTTCATTTTAGCGCACGAACAGTATGGCATTTTCTATACATCCGGGGACGGGAGTGCGTTCGCCCCCGTAGTACGACCACCGACCACCTCAGTCCCACCGCACTGGTCCACACAGCACCACCTCGCCACAGCCGCCCAGTAACCGCTAACCGTCCACCATCACAACCACCATCATCACCACCACAACCACCCTATGCACTGCGATTAAAGAGTTATGAGAAACATGCACAAGAGACGAGATTCGAGAATGTATGTACACACGTTCACTTACGAATCATTGATTGCTTACTCTCCCCCCCTCCTCCTCTTTAATTAACTTTCGTACGGTGGAGCTGGGTCAACCATGATCCATACTTACGAGAAGTATACATGTATAACACGTATTTTTAAACAAGTGAGTTTCCTATAATAGTAAAATTATTGACGTCTACCGTCCGAGGGTTAATTAAATACTCTAATTATCTATCTATGTCATTGCCATTGCGATGATTTTATCCCTCTAGCAATTTAATATTTAATCAGCAAACATTAATCAACTACTGAGATTCAACTACTATTTATAATAGTAGTCTTATTATTATCGCAATAAAGAAGTGGCTTTATAAGAAAAATATTATAATATCGTTCATTCCCACTGATTGTTAAGGGTGCCACTTAACCGACGAGATCGTTATTATCCCTAAAGTGGTCGTTTTGTTGGCACGTGTCTGAACGACGTTTCGAACAGTTTGTTCTTCATCTTGTAATGTGCACTAGCTTTCTATACAAAACTACACTCATGTTCATTGAAATCTCTTTTATCATACTATGTACAAAGCAAACGACGAATTGAAAAATACGTGTAAGTAATTTGTATTCTTAATGAGAACTGCAATCAAGGGGTAAAACATTGGTATAGGTACACTTCGCTTAATACCAAATTGATATTATAATATTTTAATATGAAATATATAAAATATTTATTTTTCTTTTTTAATCAGAGAAGTCACGGTGAATGACACTAACGTATAACCGATAGTGGGTATGTTGCAGGACTAGGGGAGGTGGTTGGTTCACCGTTCAACATGAATCCATTTATGTTGCCCACCTGCAGCCAAGGATATTCGAATGCCGCCAGTCCGTTGCTCTCGTCGAATGGGAAATAGTGTTACGAGATGTAAGCTCCGACGAAAATATCGAGGGTCTGTGTGTTCACGGAAGCGTAATCCATCGTCACGAAGGATTTTATGCTGTAACATTCTCATAATCATCGTACTTGTGATTGACAATCGCTTTCTTGAATCCGAATCGGTCCTCTCGATTCGCCTTTTTCTTCATTTTTATTTATTTTTTTATTAAACAAGAAAACGTGTTCAGGCGATTTTCGTCGGAGCTGTTCGGGATTGAATGTAAACCAGTGCAAAGAAAAAATTTAAATAACGTTTTACGATTAATTATGATCGAAATAATATAAGGAATGATACATATCGAAGCACATGGCAGTGTTTTCTGTATCTACTGACGTAGTCGTTCGATTGAAGCGGGAAGCAATTAATCGGCCGTATGTTATCTATTTACGAAGAATTTATAGAAATGATTTCGCTATGATATACGAAAACATATGCAGAGTTTATTTTAACAGGGAAATACGTGTTAATATATTCTGAGAAACAACCGAACGACTATAGAACGTCTTTTCGTATTGCTATTTTTCATATAGCTAACCGAACGCGAAAAGAAGAATTTTATCAATTTTAATACCTCCTTTGCCCTACGTCTCCACTCGTATACGAAATCAAACTTGTGGCAAAAATATTTTCCAGGTGTCTTTCATCGATTTCGTAATAAAGACGCTTTCATAATTTGTCTAATTATGTATCTGGAAATTTTTCGAAATGCAACTGTATACGCAGACGGGGAACGTTCACAGGGTGTTGATCAATTTTATATCAAACGAAGCAGAGAGGCTAATTGAGGCTCGAGGATACCACTAGAATTGCTACTATGGATTATCAATATCTTATCAATCACTTGGTGATATTAAACCTAGGGAATGTAAGTTGAACAAATTGTAGGATTAAAATAATTTACTTTGATTTCTAGATAATTCATTAATTTATATCATTAAAATTAATTGACTTGGATCTTTGAAAATTTTATTAAGTAGTATTTTTATTTTTTTTTAATTTATTATATTATTTGTATAATATATTTCTTTATTTCTTTTATTCATTATTTGCATAATTTAATTTTCTGAATTTATAAATTAGGAATTTGCCAACTTAACACTCGGTGGATTAAAAATATTACGATATTATTGATGACTATTGATAGTAGCATTTCTAGGAATCACTAGAAGATGGACATATCGCTTATCATTGAATAACAAACATCATAGTTTTAGAAAGCATTTTCAAACTTTGAAATTTTAACTTCCTACCAGTACGTTTTAAGAGACTAACCAATATCGGCTAGGTAGAGTCTAACGTCTAACTTGTAACTTGTAAATTTTCTTGTAAATATTGTTGCGATGTACAAAAAGACAAAAACTATTTCCAGGAATCCAACGAAACGATATTAAACGTGATTGTAGAGCGAAGAATAATTATACATAGGTGTAAATAATCGTAGAGCGTCGTAGCTTGATCCGTATGATTGTACAGCGGCGATTCAAAATTTTCTTTTTTAACGTCTATACAGGTTGTTAACAAATTATAGGACTTTTCATGAAATTTTTATAAAATTGTATTAACATTCATCACTAAATATAATTGTATTCCAGAAATTTTCTTCTATGTTAATCTTTGACTTGGTAAATTGAAATGAATAATGAAAATATTAATCTTGTACTTTCTCTGTTAAAATTATACATTATTATATCAATTCTAATGTGGTATACATAGAATTTTTCTGGCATAAAATTCATGGAAAGTCTTGAAATTTTATGAAACATCTTGTACTCTCCAATTGTTCACAAATTCATATTGTTAAAAAAACAAAAAGGAAGAATAGAATAATAAATCGGAGGGCAGCGTTAAAAAATTTGAGTCGTCCGCAGCAATTGTATAAACGGTATAGTTGATTTGAATCGTTCGATAAGCCGGCCCAAAAGGAATTTCACACGAAACGAATCTAACGAAAGTATACGAAGCATGTACCATTGCAAAAAAAAAAAAAATTGAAATCTCCGATTAGTCCAGATTTTTGCAGCGTAGATCGTATTGTTTCTTTCGGAACGAGTGTCGTTTTAAAAAGAAAATTATTATTGTAAAGAGTTCCTTTTTTGCATATCGACTTGGTGAACAAGTACTTCCGTTAAGGAAGATGCCCTCTTTATCCCGGAGCCACACGCTCTGTGATCTTGTGATCTTAATTGTAATATTGATTATTGACCTTTGTTCGATCACATATTGTCATCTTTTACATGGCGCGATCGTTCTTGTATGTATGCGAACACACACGAGCACGCATACGCGCGTACAAACACTCGTCGGTGTATATTAAAATAAATTAAACTTACATTTTTGAGAATTAAAAATTGATTGTTTATTATTCCTTTCACATACCCTTCCTTCACAATCTAATAATAAATTTTTCTTTCCATTAAAGTAGTTGCTTGCTATTACTTTAATAACATATTTATAATTTTTTTAAAAATGCAGGTATGTATAGAAGAATCACTTTAACCCTTTTTTAGCATTTCACCGTTGCCACCTTCCCCTCTACCTGCATCCATTCAAATTCTACCTCATCATTATTGTTATTTAAGTAAAATCTGAACATAAAACGACAATGTCGTATTCAGCGTAGCGTCACAAACACCTTCTGTTCAAGTGTGGTTTCTCCCACGAGACTACGTCAGGATCAACAAATAGCGAAACAGGATCTCGAGGACCACTTCGTAGCGATTAGTTCACATGGTGTCCTATTACCTCCGGCCGCCAAACGGTGGTGCACACGACCCACGTTATTGTAAGGCTGTTTGTGTTATTAGATTTAGATTGGTTGCCACGTGGCACGAGGCATGGCTGGCACGTGTCTCATTGCAAACGTTACAACGTGGGCACAATACGAAATCGTTTCTCTTGTAATATTGCTTTCCTTGCCAGCCCTTGCGAAAACACGTTACTTCATCAATGATTTGTCATTTCGCTATTGTTTCACTGTAACATGAGTACCAATCAACGATTAATTATTAACATAATTGTGCATTGCATCTTTAGTGAAAACATATGTTTCATTTATTATTTATTATCATTTAGTCAGCAATGACTACAGATACAGGGGCATCAAGGGGCACATCCTTGTATTCCTTAGATCTATGTTTCTTTTATATCTCTGAATCTTTTACATGTCTACATCTCTTGCACTCCTACATCCTTTACATCTCTGCACCCCTTACGTCCTTGTAATCCTTACAACTCCACAATCTTTACATCCATGTATTCCTTACATCCTTGCATCCCTTATATCTCTGCATTCCTTACATCTCTAGATCTCTTACATCCCTGCATCCTTTATATCTCTGCATCCCTCACATCTTTGTATCTCTCACATCTCTGTATCCTTTACATCTCTACATCCCTCACATCTCTGCATCCCTTACATCTCTGCATCCCTTATATCTCTGCATCCCTTATATCTCTGCATCCCTTACATCTCTGTATCCCTTATATCTTCTCATCACTTATATCCCTGTATCTCTTACACCTCTATATCTTTTAAATCCCTGAATCCCTTGCTTATTTAAGCAAAGATTCATGCCAAAGTTAGTTCCTTTTTTTGCCACCAGATGGCGCTGATCGGACGTTGAAATTTTAGTTCACATTTTTGCCGCCAGAGGGCCAAAAATGGTGCATGATTTAGTTCCTTTTTCCGAAACCAGATGGCGCTGATCGGACATTGAGATTTTCGTTCACATTTTTGCCGCCAGAGGGCCAAAAATGGTGCATGATTTAGTTCCTTTTTCCGAAACCAGATGGCGCTGATCGGACATCGAGATTTTAGTTCACATTTTTGCCGCCAGAGGGCCAAAAATGGTGCATGCTTTAGTTCCTTTTTCCGAAACCAGATGGCGCTGATCGGAGGTTGAAATTTTAGTTCACATTTTTGCCGCCAGAGGGCCAAAAATGGTGCATGCTTTAGTTCCTTTTTCCGAAATCAGATGGCGCTGATCGAACATTGAGATTTTAGTTCACATTTTTGCCGCTAGAGGGCCAAAATTTGAAAATTCAAAATTCAAAAATTGAATTTACTTACCTTTACTTACCTTTACTTACCTTTACTTACCTTTACTTACCTTTATTTACCTTTACTCGAACCAGTGGCCACAGATATGTTATTATAGTTATGATATACTTATTATAAGGGATGCAGAGATGTAAGGAATGTAGGGATGAAAGGAATGTAGGGATGTAAAGAATGTAGGAATGAAAAGAATGTAGGGATGTAAGGGATAAAGTGATGTAAGGAATGTAGGGATGAAAACAATGTAGGGATATAAGGGATGAAGCGATGTAAGGAATGTAGGGATGAAAGGAATGTAGGCATGAAAAGAATGTAGGGATGTAAGGGATAAACCGATGTAAGGAATGTAGGGATGAAAACAATGTAGGGATGTAAGGGATGAAGCGATGTAACTGATAAAGCGATGTAAGGAATGTAGGGATGAAAAGAATGTTGGGATGATAATAGTATCTACCCTAGGAGATACAGGGATGTTAAGGAATGCAGAGACCTAAGAGGTACAGGGATGTAAAAGATGCAGACATATAAAGGAAACATAAATGTAAGGAATACAGGGATCTGCCCCTTCTGACCCCCAAAGAAGGAAGGAATGATAAATAAATGGGATGGTCAGCCGATGTTCAGAAGAGGGATAAAAATCATAAATTTTATCCGCCTTATAAGCTTATTCAATAAGCTAAGAAAATAAATAAAGTGAATTAATTTAACTAAGAAAATAAATTAAATGAACATGTTTGTTTGACAAATAGATCCGCACTGCTCGACGGTCGCGCTAAGATTGATTAAATTTCACCTCGCTCCTGACAGCACTTGAAAAGCTGTAAGTAATGCTTTTTCATGAATTTTTGGAATTTTGGAACTGTGTTTAAAATAAACATATGCAATTCAGTTTTTTGGAATGATAATATTTATTATTTGTGTAGTAAAAATTACATTTCATCGATTAAAGGCCAATTCACAAAAAGTACTGTCGAAATAACATAGTGTTTGTACATTGTGCATTTTATATTTGAGAGGACTAATAGGCTTTTTCGTCCAGTTGTTTCCACCCTCTGGTATATACAAATAACACGTACCCTGTTGTCCGCCAATCTACCAAGAGCCGTTAGCTTAGTTTTTTGGCACGTGTGATCCTATAAAACTCCATACGAGGCGTATCGTGCTCGATCTAATTGGAATCTGGAAAAAGCAAAGCACAAATTTTTTTGGAAACCTTGTTAAACGATCAAATTTTTTAACGACTCCTCAACGTAGAGGTAACGATTTTCTAAATTAGTACATTGTTTTCTGAATGAGAAATGTTAATGAATATAGAAAATTTATTATTATACATATTTCGTTTTTAAATTGTATATTACAACGAATTACAAAAGTATATTGACACGCCACTGCGTATGCTCTTTTGCGTCACAGCGATATCGGGGTAGAATTTGAGTCGACTGTCAAAGGGGATGAACCACTGAGCACGGCAGGGAGAGGAGCAATCCAGTGATGCACCCTTGACAGTTCGCCGCGATAAGATCTGCTCTTTCGGCGAGTTCGGCTCCATTTGAATTCTGTTTGTGTATCCCGGCAACGTTACCCTTCGAATCCATTGTGTTTTTATCGATACAAAAGAATTTTAGCATCTGCTGATTACCGCTAATCCTTATTCAACTCTATCGAGTTACCTTAGCTAACTCAACTCCTAGGATGGTCTGCTGACAATCGGTACAAAATAGATAACTGAATCAGTGAACTGAAAAATAGTATAAATCTAAAAACTACGTTTTGAAATGTAGATGTCAAAAAATAATTTTGGTTTTTGTCTTTCATCAATCAATAATTTCATGTCATTCAAAGTTAAACACGATTATGTTGATCCAGAAAAAAAATGTTCAATAATTAAAGTAAAACTAGTGAATCTATATTATTTTGAAAGTAGCGCTGCCTATCGGAAAATAGCGGAAACTGAACGTCAACTTATCGACTGCCAAAGAGTTGCTAGTGATCTCCTCTTTCAGAAGAAAATAAATAAAATTAATTAAATAAACTCCGGAAAGAAATTAGAAGATGATTATTATACTGGTTGTGCCCTCTACGTACGGGCCTGATTTCATCCTGGGGTGTCAGGGACCCCGAAGCACTGGTGGTGCTCTGTGTATACCGACCTGATTCCATCTGGGGTGTCTGGGACCCCGAAACACCGTCGACCCTCTCTGCATTGCGACATATGATCCTGGGGTGTCAGGAACCCCAAAGCACCGATAATACTCTTTGCATACAGACCTTATGGCATTTGGGGTGTCTGGGACCCCGAAACACCGTTGACTATCTCTGCATAGCAACAAATCGTCCTGGGGTGTCAGGAACCCCAAAGCACCAATAATACTCTTTCTATACCGACCTGATGGCATCTGGGGTGTCAGGGACCCCGAAACACCGTTGACTCTCTCTGCATAGCAATAAATCGTATTGGGGTGTCAGGAACCCCGAAGCACCAATAATACTCTTTCTATACCGACCTGATGGCATCTGGGGTGTCAGGGACCCCGAAACACCTCTGATGCTCTTTGCCTATTGATTACAGCAACCGGGGTATCTGAGACCCCGAGGTACCGGCGACGCTGTATACCAATATTAGGCCACCGGGGTATCAAGGACCCCGAAGCAAGTAGCGAAATATAAGAACGGAAAACGAACAAATCGTGAAACTCGCTTGTTCGGAATAGTGATGGGTTTGAGCGGATCTAGCGAAATATAAGAACGGAAAACGAACAAATCGTGAAACTCGCTTGTTCGGAATAGTGATGGGTTTGAGCGAATCTAGCGAAATATCAGAACGGAAAACGAACAAATCGTGAAATTCCCTTGTTCGGGATAGTGATGGGTTTGAGTGAATTTAGCGAAATATAAGAGTTAAGTTCCAAACAAATCTCGAAATAGTAATTGCAAGATAGTAATAGATATGTACTATAATAGTGAAAGAAGCAAATATAAGAATATACCTAAACTCATTACTACTTTCCTGTGACCTGGGTATACTTGAAAACCTGGAAGAAAATATAGTAGGAAACTTAATGAGTTTGCATACCGACATTATGGCATCCGGGGCGTCAGGGACCCCGATGTATCGATGGCGCTCTCTGTATACTGACCTAAAATTATCTTGGGGTGCTAGGTACCCCAAGCACGAGCGATACTTTGCATACCGACATTGTGGCATCCGGGGTGTCAGGGACCCCGAAGCTAAAATGTATGATCCACAGGCTTTTTATAGAAAAATTGAAACCTCTGTAACTTTTTACATCTTTACGCCTTATATCTATAAAATTTACACGTTCATTTTATTTTATTGTTATGAATGTAAGATGTAAAAAGATATTACTGTTCAATAGAAGTTTATAGGAATGAGAAATAGACACTTTGATATATAAATATGAAAAAAAGTTAAATATGTAAATTATAATATTACAAACAATTATTAGTATATTGTGGTATGTATAGTTGTATGAGAAACGATGTCAATACCAAGCCAGGTTGGCCGAGCGGTCTAAGGCGCCAGATTTAAGCTCTGGTTCCCGGTTGGGAGCGTGGGTTCGAACCCCACACCTGGCAAAAAATATTTTTTTTATTTTAAACTGAAATATGAAACTCTTTACATTTGTATATAATAAATAAAGAATATTTTATCCATCTCATTTGCATGTTTTTTAATTTCATAAGAAAGTTTGCTTTGAAAGCTATCCCTCCTGTGCCATCTGGCAGTTGTTAACATTAAAGTCAACAAAGCCAAAAATTGCATTCTTTTTCTAATGAAAACTCATTAACTCAAACTACAATAATTAAGAGAATTAGAGCCAATACATTAAAATGCATAAGGACCACCATATACGCTGCGTGGGGTCTTAGAAGACCTTGGTATTTCAAAATGTGATACAAGAAATATCTTAACCATTTTTGTATTAGGGCACCCCAATAATACTGGGGTATATCCAGCTATGGGTAATACAGCGCTCTTGCGCTGGTAAGATTTTTATTATTAACAAACGGTATTTAATTCCCAGAAGGTAAGATCAGAAGGCAATTTCTCAAATGGTAAATCAATTGTATATAAAATAAAAATGTAGGAAACTAGAATAATCAATTGAAGAAAATATTAAACAATTTTCACTGCGACTATAGATTTCAATAAAAAGAAATTTTATTTTTAGTGTACTTAATTAAGCCAATTAAAAAATATTACAGAAATATTACAAAGTAAATGATAACATAATTTTTTATTCGTTGATAAAATAACATTTCAGCTGATCGTTTGCAGCACGAGTAAGAAACAGTTGTTTGCAACGAATCACAATAAAGCAATAAAGTTGCCCATTTGGAATGACACAGTAGGAGGAAATGTTGGTCACAGAAGGCCGCGGGGGAAAGGTCAGGACAGAAACGAAACGTAATTACATTATAAACGCTTGAATACGCCCTCGGGATGAGAAGCGCGCTTTAATCGAAGACTCTTTATCTCCGGTGTGTAAATCATACCGAGACGTCAAATCGGGCCGCTGTTCGCGCAACGAACGCAATCCGCTTCCTTGGCAATTACGACAAATTAACCGTGAAATAGACTCGTTAATAAGAACATTATTCTCTCGAAACATTGTACAAGAAACTGGTTGGCAAGATCTTTGCATTGCAATCGATTTGACAAATTGCGATCTAAGATCTTCCGATACAAAATGTCGTTCGTTTGAATCGATAAGGGTAGCTTAATATTATTCGCTTTGCCTTAAACTAATTGCATTTTGCAAAATAAATGACTATACAGAAACGACTAGGTATATAAATAACATTAAAAATAAAAAGCATAAAATAATTCCACATATATTTACTCTTTGCTTATCTCAAATAGATTGTAAACAAAAAGGTGGAGTTAATAAAGAAAGGATAGAAAGAGAAGAAGATTTTAAGTATTCTCTTCTAAGATATTATGTATGCACATAAGTGCAGTTGCACCCCATGCATTTTCAGTGGCAAATGTAAAGAGAAACTGACTGTGTATTTGTGAAATTTTGTTGATTTTCAAGAAGAAAGGTGTGAAAAATTAGAAATTAAAGAATCGTCATTATCGTTGGGATGTTTGCACCCTTCTATGTAGAGAGAAAGTTAAAAATGTTTCGATAAATTAAGTATTATTGTACATACACTTGTATTTTATTGTATCGAAATTGACACGTAGTACTACTGGCATCAGCCATTCTTAAAATTATCTATCTCAATTAACGAATTAACTTCTTGTGTTCTCAATGGTCATTATCACCTAATCAGAATTCTTTAAGTGTTTTTCCTTCAATTGTTGATGTGAAATAAACACCAAAATTTAATTATGTAAATTGTTCGATTACCTTCATTAATTAGTTTTTCTACATTTAATAATTTTCAATGTAGCTCCATCCAGGTGTATAAAAGAACTTATACATGCGGTAGCCACAAAAGGATTAATATCACGAAACAAGAGAAAGTAAATTTGTCCTACTTTTAAGAAAAACAACTGATACACCGTCTAGTCAATTTTCAGATATGATAGATTTTACAGGTACGTACATACGATGTTTACTCGAGAAGAAGTTATAGCTTGTCCCAATTTTAAAATCATTCCGTATATTCGCCCATCCCATATCGACAGTATTGGTATCAATACTGTTGCAAAGTTTCGATTTTATGCTTGTTTTCATTGTACACTCTTCTAAATTATCTCGTATGGAGTTGTATATTCAGCAAGTTTCGTGCAATATCGACTACTATTTTCCCTTGAAAATGTTATTTTTACCATTAGTCATCTCTGCTTTTCATCATAGTTAGAAAAATGATATATAGAAAGAATCTGACCTAATAAACGGAATAATAATTTTATAAACATTAAGATGTACGCATTATTTCAGTACCCTAAACATTATTTTCAATTTTTAATTTAAAGTGTCATATTATGGCTTGTAAATGGATCAGAATCTGCGCTAATTTGGTTTTACGTTACACAGTGATTATACCTGCCTTCAGGACGTAACGCAATATGGATTTGGGCGATTCTTTTAATCCGAAACAAAGCGCCGGTTTCGGTGGTCACACGTGGGTGTGGGAGAGACCTCCCACATCGTTCCATCAGGAGTTTCACTCCTTTCCTTTCGTCGGGAGCGCGAAACGGAACCTCCTAAACGGAGGCCTCTTTCGAGAAACTGGACTCTACGGTATAATTACGTACAGCCTCTTATGGCTAGCCTCTTGCTTTCCACCTTGAATCAGAAATCGATTACTCTTCGGGTTCGGGTTTTTCTCTGAATCATCTAGCCTACGAGGAACTCACCGTATTGTAACACATTTCATTTTATTTTGTCTTCTTTCTAACTTACCAGAATTCTTTCCCATCATTTATTACTAAATTGCTTCATATGTGATATTTTGCATTACCCAATTCATATTCAAATTTTCTATGTTTCAAAATAGTCCATTTAATATCTTACAAGTTAATATTTTGAGGAGCAATTTTTTTCTTTTTTAAATTTTAATGTAACAATTGTTTTAAACCTTTGACAGCATTTTCTGTACTTTATCTCTCATCATCTGACATTTTGAAAAGTAATGTATTCCGATACTTGTGCTCGTCTTCTTCGTTCTTTCGTTTGTTTGCGATGGGTTTTGGCACGTGGCTTACATGAGCAGCTAAAAAGCTGCATTATTAGCGTTAATGTACAATTAAATGTTTGACTTGACGACGTACATTTTACAATAAAAATACTCCATTTGTCAATTTTACTTCGGTACATTTTACAGCCAAAATAAAATTTTCTTGATTAATAATACATTAAAAATATTTAAAAATAAACTAAAGAATTCATACAAATGCTAGAACAAAGTCTATCTCAGTCTTGAACTTTCAAAAGCATGGCACTCGAAAAACACAGAATTTTGGTGATAATTAAATCGCTGATAACTGAATCGCTACGCCTCGAAAAGAATTAAAAGAGGGGTTCAAATTATACGTGTTTTATTTCACGCGATTAAATTCCTTAATGATAAAACTCGTTGTATAGATCTAACTTTAATTCTTATCTTGTACGATATTTTCGATTCTGTAATCAAACTGACCAATCCTTACGTATTACAGTAAAAGAAAATTAAAGATACTTCGTAAGAATGTCAATTTGTTTACAGGTAGTGAATAAACCATAATTGTTAATAGTTCTTGGTAGAATGCCAGTAAGCTCGTATATTGTGTTTATCTGAAAAGATAATGATCTTCTTTGAATTTCTATGAAGGTAGATCGTAAACGTTTGGTAAACAGCCCACTATAGGAAACTAGCTATTGTAGAAACAAATCGTAATTACAAGCTGAACGAATATGGCGTACATACACTTGTCCCAGGTGTACGTATACGTGTACGTACATATTGCCAGTAAAATTTCGAGTTCTAAGTTCAAGTGGTCGAGGAATGTTTTACGCGTGTCATCGAGTCGGTGGATCCACTCGTGAGTATTACACGCAGCACGTGCGTGTCTAATAGTACGTTCAAATACAACGGTAAATTAGCGCCGCCTTAAATTAGCTTCGACTTGAAACGCAGCTTCTCGTTGTAATTAGTAACGCTAACAATGTATTGTACTCCGGATTGCTTCATCTCGATAAAAAGGATAAAAAATAGCACTGCAAAGCGTCACCCAACGTTTACCTTCGTATACAAACGTATCCTGGTGCTAAAATTTTAGTTTTGTTAAACGTGACATGTCTTGGAATTGAAAATTCCATGTAACAATTAACGAATTACATTGGTCAAGGTAAGAAATTGGTGTTTTCTAAAATAAATACATATTTTTGAATACAGGTGAGCTTCGAATGATAAAAATTTTACTAGGTGTTAATTGTTGTAATTAAAATTTCATCTCCAAATTTAATTTCTATTAAAAATAGATATAAAATAATCTCCTTTTGATATTTTCAATATTTTTCGCATAGAAAAAGAATGCCTAATTTATTTGATATAAACCTAAAACCCTGGAACATGGAACATTACTCTATTCGAATTTGTAAAACAACTGCGGTTGTAAACAGATGCATTATAAAGATATAAACCGATTTCAGTACAAAACTGACAATACTACCTCGTTTATACTTTAATGCGTTCAATACGAACATCGCATGTATACGCTGATGTTACGATTACTCACACGAGTTTCATTTTATTTGCTCTTAACGCAGATAGGAATCGTTTTAAACTATCGCATAACTTACAAAATAATATAACTTACGAACGGTGTGCATGGACCGCAGTTATGTCCGGTCGTATCATATCAAATGACCGATTTCGAAACACAGGAATTCGAAACACAGGACATAAAAGTGCTGCAAAACAAGACTGGTAATTGAAAATTTGATAAAAATTACTGTACAACCCTTTCTAATCACGATCTCAACTGAAATGAACATTATCGGATTCCAAAAAGCCGAGAAAATTTATGGCCTTTCCCTTTGCACGACCAATGTAACCTCGTGATTGAGAGTTGTACCGAAATTGGTAAGGACGGGATGACCACCTCGTGGAGGAGACGACCAACCCGTTATCGAGTCTCTCCTCGGATCTCCAACGGGGAAAACAAGACGTATCTCACAATCGGTAAGAACGTCATTAATGCGGGGACGATATACCCTGGTGTCATTCGCCGTGAAATAACGCAATACGATAAAACATGCTACCAGGAGGTCCCTGAGTGTACTTACAGTCTGTCTCACAAGAGCGTGGCCACGATATCTTGGTGAAAATTTATCTACCGTGTAAAATGTTGCGCATGGATTGAAATATGTATCGTATGAAAAGTATTTGTTAATTTCCCCTATCGGTCAATTAGGTTTATACCACTGGTATATTATCACATTATTGCAAATGGCATGCAATTTTATTTTAGTATGTGGTACCTCAATTAATCCTTTCATAATTAGTCTAATTTCCACTGTTATGGCAATATTTTAGAATATTTTTTAATAATTTTTCTACGCTGCTTACAAATAAAATGTAGAGTACAATTATTTAATCATTATAATATTATCGATTGTTATTATTATTATAGAAATAACTGATGGAGTTATAAATATACCATAGGTCACGTAGCTGTGCTATTGTCATTACCAATTAGCAGTATATTGAAACACCTGTAATTCTTAATTAATTCATTATAATTATGGATACATTCTTGTGAGACGTACTGTATGTACTGTACAAGTTGAAGATACAGAGATGTCGCGTGGGAAGGTGGCCATCGCAGGTAGGCCGATCAGATTGGAACGTATCGATAGGCCGAGATTCGAGACAAGATCGTGGTATCGATACGACCGGCTGGTACCGTACAGAAGGACCCATTAATACGATGCGGTATCGTCTCATAAATACGGTGGCCGATACGAAAAATCACCAACGAGAAGATGCGAACCGATAAATCAATCCCCTTTTAACCCAGCCTGCTACAAATAGACCGCATTTGTCAGGCTTCGCCGGAGAATGGAGCCTTCCATTTTTCGTGTCAACGCCGGAAAAGCCGCTTGCCGTAGTTCTGGACTCTCGTTGAATCAATTTTCCGCCGGATCTTCTTAGCGAAACAAATGCCACGAATTATTGGGGGACAATAAAAGCCTTCGCTTCCCGCAATGTCACGGTTTTCAATTAATGGAATTTTTTTTATCGAGGAAGCTGGATCCTGATACATACTCGAACACGTGTGATCGTGTTGAAATATGTATTTTCCTATGAATGAAATGATTTTGTATCAACCTTTCAAATTAAACTCGTGTAATAAATTAAAAATAATTATTATATCAAATAATAATCATTGGTCTGACAAGGTAGGGGTCAGGGTGGGCCTGGCACCCTTAAACATCTAGACTGGCCCTTGCCCAAAAATGTGGATCTTTATCATACAAAAATTAAAAAATTTCTAAATTTCTGAGACCTGGCCCACCCTAGAGAAAGGTCCAAGTCACGTCAATGATAATAATTCCTAATTTCTTATTTCCTTATATTACCTTGAAATCTCTGAAGGTCCTCCAGTTTCCAAAATATCATTACCTTATACTATATTATAGCTTTCTCAATACCTTATGATATTTTCTTTTTTTAATAAAATATTATTTATACTTCTATAAATTTGAAGAAGTTAGAAAATTCGAATCAGTATATATTTTATTTCCTTATTTCCGATAGATCTCTACCACTATCAATGTCATAAGAGATGAGAAAAGCGGTACGCAAGCTTTGTAAAGGAAGCGAAACGAAATATAAAGAGAAGCGAAAATACGAGTAGAAATCATCCTTACCAAGCCGACAGACTGAAAAGGTTGAATGGCCAGTTCCAGTTTCTCCAATGATTTGTAATTACTGCCACTAATATGATACAGTTGACTACAGCGGTTCTCATTCCTGGTACGTTATTCGTTACTGTCGAAACAAAGGGGTTAGTGATTGTTAAATATGAAGGAACACTGGTTGCTTGCGAATAGGTTCATCAGGAGCCCTCGGGCTTTACGATCCTCTACGGCGCCGCGAGTTAATCATTCCGAGCGAACCATTTTCGTCCTTACGAACTTTGTATTACCCTTCATTCGTTTTCTTACCGGTTCCATTCGGAGAAAGACTGCTGCTTCTGTTCTCTTCTGCCGATAGCTACTGTCTCTGATGATTCAAGAGCTGAAACGGCGAGATCGATGAACGCGAACAACCTCCGTCCGAAATTCCAGGAGCCCCAGGACCAGCTGCATCCCTCTGAATCACCACCACCCATGGTCTTCAACGTCGTTTTCTTAAATCACATCCAATGGAAAAAAAAGGTGATTATCACTCGTCCTCGACGGATGACTCTTTCGTCTGCCATCACGAAACGAAGATGTATCAATGTTAAAACGATGACGTTTAAAATTAAAAAATACTAAAACCTATATTAATTATAATTACCTAAAATTTATACCGAATGCAGAGCAACAATGTGGCTATCGTACCTGTGTAAAATAAAAACCTTTCCTAAAGGGATAATAAAGATTTATTATTACAAAATTTACTCTTCGATGAGTCTTGAAATTTTTCCCTGATTCACCTATTACGATTCCAGCAGACGAGATTTGCCCCACATTTGTCTTTTGATATCGCTTTACTCATTCTGCAACTGCAATCGCGATGACAGTATTCAGATACGATACCGTCTCTCGTACTCGTCGATTTCAATCTTGCGAGGAAACGACGTGACGAGGCATGCTGTGGTTGAAAGGGACGTGTAAATTGATTTGCGGTTCGTCGTGTGCCGATATACGGTTCTGGCGCCACGACGACATACCAGCATTTCCGGAATGGCATAACTGTCTTCTCCTTCCTATCCAGCTTGACATTAACGTGGGACTGTTAACGAGAGGGGAGAATTGATTTTGCCAGACTTTTTCCTTGTACCTTTAAACGATCAAACGATGACTGAGTCACTGAAATTTGAATAAAAGTAAAATGAAAAAAGATGAAAAATCCGTAATTAAACGACGTCTCTAATTGCCGGAAAAACCGTCGAGCGGAAATATTTGACTCGTCGTAAAATTCCGCGACAATTTAACTAACTCGAGCGAGCGCGTAAAACCGCGGGTGGTTTCGTTGCACCGTAAAGTTCCGTTTACACCCGAAACACGAGTGGTCTTAAGCCGGGTCGAAATAATCTGTGGGAACCGGGACCGCGCGGCACAATGGCGGGCTTATTAAAATTCCTGACTGTATTTTATGCGCGCGAGATGGTGGGCAACGTCGCGAGAAGGTACGAAACACAGACCGGTAGTAGGACTGAAACACGGCGCATGAGAAAGAAAAGAAGAGTGGAGGGAAGGGAAGATAGGACCGGAGAAACTGTAAGAACGAAAGTAAGAAAAAAAAGAAAATAAATAAAGAAAGGAAGGGGGACAGAATAAGGGACCAAGATGGGGAGGGAGGGAAGAAATTGAGGGAGACCGAGTGTGCGTACCAAGAAATGAAAAGGGTTACGAGAGAAAAGGAAACGGATAGTTGTCAGATTAAAAAAGGGAGGAGAAGGGAGAAGGCCACGCGACTCCGAGTCAAGGCGTAATCTTTTTACATCTACACCCACGCTTACTAACCGACCACTATACCGCTCGGCTCCATAACAGTATTTCGCCGTGACCACTTTAGGTACCATCCTTTCTTCGGCCTCATTCCTCGTCTTTTTGATTGTCCGTTTCTTGCTTTCTCTTATTTTCCCTCGGTACACGAAAATTATTGACCGCTCGATGCTAAGAGAAATACTTTCATAAGAGTTTTAGAGAATGATAGACTACTGCAAAGGTTGATCGGTATCTGTAATGGTTGTATCATATCCGATAGCCGATTTCGAAATATGGAAAGTCTAGCATTTTTTGATGGCATACGAGCAATGCAAAATTGGAATATTAATTTGAAAATTAAAGTTTGAATAAAATAGCTGATTATTTGTAATAAAAAATTAATTAAAATAATCAAAATTTGGGTTTCAATAAAAATTGGAAATATTTCAAAAGAGACTTTCAAATATACAGTACAAATTTCCTTCTGATAAAACGAAAATAAAATCACCCTGTTTTTAGTTTCTTCTACACGTGTTACATATTAAATAAAAAATAATCAAATTTTATCGGAGATTCATAAGATATGTTTGGGGAAGAACTGAAAAAATCAGATACGATGACGATCCGCACCTATCAAAGATATGATGCGTATCATGGAAATTCACTTTCTACTTACATATCGTACATCCGGTGTACGCGACATTATTGCACATGATATTCGTTCAAACATTTCCAGCATGAAACATCCTATAGCGAACGTACGCGAACTAAGTGCGTTACCCTCGTGTATCGTTCTCTCTTATCGCCCGACAACCGCTTATCAAGCGCCAGTCTGGCAGACTCCCTACGCAGGTGAATACAGGTATACATCTACCTATGCTTGCACCTATCTCTGGTTTAGGCAGAGAGAATGCTCTTTTTGTATCCTTCACGTTATCGCGAATTCTCCAGCGTCGAGCTTCGGAACGGTAATTGAATTCTCGGTACTCGCTGATACGCTTTCGACGTACTACCTACGTATCACGTGAAAAGAGCAACTGTTTCCTATGTAACAGGGTATTTATTAGGTGTGTAAATTAGTTCGGTACCTTCGTAAATTAGCCAGTGGCTGCTCGCTTTGGCTGCAACTTTCGAAATATACATCCACCCTGTAAATAAAGAATATACGTATTTGGATAAAATATCAAAATTAGGGTAGAAAATTAAAAAAATTAAACATGACAAAATATACTTTTTGGTATAATTACCTGAGGAAGATTGATGGTGTTGCAGTTCCACAGTGCTTATCCACGTGCCACCCTTAAAGGTAGATGTACATAGTTTCGTCCAATCCTTTCAGGTTGGCACCTGCAAAAAAAGAGTTCCTTGTCAGTATGAAAAGAATTAAAAGGCTGGACAGAGAATTGAATAAATTCGAGAACCTTCGAAGAGCTCCTCTTATCCAGTTGGTTCTATGCCAAAAACAAATTAACTTAACTTAAAGAAAAAGAGGGGTAGTTTTCACCGGAAATCGCAGGGAATTAAAAAAGGAGAAATTTTCCTGGCGAAAGAATTCGCTGTGAACGATGCACCTCCGGGGTGCCCCGCACCCACAAGAGGAACGTACAAGCTGGACCGGCTAAATTCGAAGGGAATCGAATTCAATGGGACACCATTGTTATTTATTCTCCTAGGCGTGACTGGCCCCGGTCCAACGGCCCACGTGGCTGCGATTATTTATAAAATCGGTACCGAATAGGACTACGTGCTGGGCGTTAACGAGGATCGTGTCACATCGTTGTGCAATCGGTAACAAAACACCGTTCTTCCAGAAATAAGGAAAAAAGAAAAAATAAAGAAGCGAACAAGGCGCCTGCTTGTTAATGATACCGATAGAATGGCTTCTTCTAATGTGATAGGAGCTTTCACGTCGATGATTTGTACTGCTGTGTTACGCTCTACGTAATTGGATGGTTCTTTAAGGTAATGCAATTGGAAGATGCATGAGATTTAACGAGTACGTCATCGAAATAAATTTTAGATAGATTTATTACCTGTGCCCTGGGTCGCTTGATTTACAACACTCGTTAAATTTAATAATGCTACAATAATCGTCCAATTCTAGAGGCACGTTAACCGTGTAATAAGAAACGGGTACCTAAATCTAATTAATTTGGAGACAAATTACACCCTTAGTGGTAGGGCTGTGGAGCCCTATATGAAAAGAAGATTTGAGTTTCAGGGGTAAGCGAAAGATAAGCAGTAGGTTGCTCGAGAAATGCATTAAAGACTCCAATAAACTTCGCGCTCGTCTGGAATGCTAATAAATTATCCGTTGGCAATCCCCTTTCCAGCAGATATTACAGAAGGGAAACGAATCCACGCCGGTAGCCGTGAACGTGGAACGTGGCAATATGGAAGAAGCGTGCAGCTCTCTGTGAACATAGGCACCGACTAATGAGTTTATGTCTTAATCACTCGATCGATCGATCTTAATCGATGCCTCTTCCTTTCCTATAAATCTTCGACGATCGTCGGCTTCTCTGCCACCGTCGCGGAGGTCTCCACGGCGAATGTCTGCTTCTGTGTACCACCGTGATATGCCCACCGACATTCCATGCGTTCCTACTTTTTTAACTCCCTAATGTATGAGTAACTCATTTAAGAATCACAGGTGTACAGCTACAGTGCGAGTCAAAAGTTTGAATGCACCCTAGGGTGCTTATGAAATTTCAGAAAGTTTAAGAAGGAATTTTTATGTGAAAAAATTTTATTCTTTATATGAGGGGTGTCAAATAATCTAAGCACCTTTTATAAAATATTTAAATTATTAATAGGGTTTAAAATTCACAAAATTTTATATAATTATATAGAATTAATTTCAAGGCAATTATCTAATAATCAAAAATTATATTATTCTTTCTCTAAAATACTTTTAATATTAATATAATAAAAATTGAGGTTTTAAAAATTCCTGCTCTCCCTATATGATCATTTTCCCTGGGGAAATCTGATTTGATCGCGATTGTATAGAAATTCTATGGTTATACGAACCGAACACAAAGAGTTTGAATTGAATTTCACGTACGTAACTCTCTGCCACGAGTATCTTCATCGTGTATGATTTCGAGAGGGCTTGTAGGGCTCTCAGAGAAGGTTTTCACGGAACGTAACGAAGGGAAACCATGGTACTATGTACCTTACCGCTATTGTTGTATTGCTGCAAAGTGACGGAAGGGTAAATATAACGAAGGCGATGAATATTTATAATATCATTGAGAATTGATCGCACTCAAAAAAGGGATTTCGTATGCGTGCAACATGCCGATGCATCGTGATCAACATGGGAGATACGCGGGCAGAGTGAATAATTAAAGAAATCTTCTCGGGATGAAGCACTTTGGTAGCAACGTCAGATATTTACGCTCGTTTTACCGTCTGAACGTATAACTGAGTTACGGTTAGTTTATGATTTCACGCCCTACTTCGTGCACCCGTTACTTCATGGATCGTTCGGTTGATTGACGATTAAAATGAAACACCCTCGAATATTTCAGCAATTGAAACTTCTCGATTCGATAAACCAACCTTTTATATATTGCTATATTTTGAAACTTTTTTTTGAAATTAATTCTGTGAGAAAGGAGGAGTATTATTTAATACAATTTCATCTTCCTGTAGATAATAAGCATACTTAAGAATTGTTTTATCGTAGCCTTTTCTCCTGACAATGGAAATAAAGTGATACTTCTGAAAAGCCGTTGAAGTTTTAGAAAGAGGGGAACAAAAGGAACCGACAATCGAGATAAGAATCACAAGATTGTGTCATTATCCGTTTCCACTTGGAACATCTTCGAATAAGGTTTCTATAATATTTCTTTCAGGATGACTGGCAAAAATATTTGAGAAGTCAAGGTAGGTTCCTAGAAAACCTGGCACCAATTGGATTAACTTACTCGTTGTCAAAGTAAATTAAATTTTCAGCGGTTATGGGTTCCCTTAAACCGCGTACACGCGCGCTAATTGCACGCGTGGTAGCCATGGTACGTAAACCGAGCGAATGCATATATCATGGAACCGTAATGCAATATCGGTATGACCCTCCTTGGCCCAGAGGCTCATATGCCTATGTTAGTATAAATAATGCCTGTTATTTGTCGGCTATTAGTTTTTGCACTGGGCTAACTTATCGTCCTCGTAAACTGGCGTACAATTATCTACCTGTGCTATGCGAGCAGCACCGAAGAGGCTTGGAACGATTGCTCGTGTCACTTCTACTAAAATAAGACGACAAGAAGATGAATAGGTGAATCGGCAAAGGGAACTATGTACATCACAGTTACCTAGAGCAATACGTCATCTAGAATTTTCCTCCATTCGTATCATTTACTTTTTAACGATAATTTAATAGGAGGTACCATAATTTATTTAAGAAAGAATTATTTAAACTGAAATTGTATCGTATCATGTGAAATTGTATCATTTTGAATAAATTATTTTTTATTAAACGATTCGTTTGATTTTCATACTTAGAAATACCTATCTGTTTGAAGGTTCGCATAAATATTTATCAATGAATTACGAAACCGTATATGTAATAGTATTTATCGAGTAGATTAATGACGTGCGAGTTGGTGATTTACTGGTTTTCACATTATTGTACCCTGTAAATGTCCGTCATGACTAATGTTACCCTGTTAGATGCATTCCACCAACTTTTGTGATAGTAATCGACAAATTATGTGGACGTCGCGCAAGTAACACAACAATTTGTGTTATTGGAACTAAAAGTATGCATGTTACACAAAGCGATCATAAATCTTCGACGGTTCGGCAATAAATCGTTATCACCATTCACTTGAATGATAAATTACCGTACAGCTTTACGAATCCAGTATCAAATGTTGTTTTATCAAATACATATTCGAACAGATTTCAATTATCCATGTAAGAAGCTCAATTCGCATAAATCAACAAATTAAAACGCAATAAATATTTCCATACTCCCATGGACATAGAATTTATGTTAATTGATCAATTAAAATTGCTGCAAAGTAAATGAAAAATACTTCATTTGTTCCTAATTAAAATTACTCAAAACACAGAGTACTTAAGAATTTATTAAATTATTAAAATTCTAAAATACCGTGCTTCAAAGAATTACTTGATCTGACCTCAACAATTTATTAAACCATTGTTTAAACATTGATTAAAAAAGTAGCGATTCTTAGACGCGATAGTGTTATCAAATTCAACGAATCAGTCCTTAACCGAAGTCAACATTCTCGTCGATGCGCTTCGTTCGAAATTATCAGATTCTCTTTTCCTCCGTCTCTTTTTCTCTTTTCTCATCTCCTCTTATTTTGTACCTTTATTCTTTTTCTACTTCTCTCTCTCTGCCTCTTCGTTTCACGGTGCAACCATTTAGGTTCGGCGACATTTCCGGTTACGAAGTAGCAGCCGTTACGAGTAACGGCTCGATAAGAACGATCGCCGAAAGAGCAGTAGTTTGTACGTTTCTGTATCCGTGTGTGCGCGCTCACGGTTGGTCCAATTAAGACGATCCGGTGGCACAAGATCCCAACGATTTCGGAAGATTTATCAGTAACCTTTCCGACGACCACACGCAAAATGAATAAACGCTCGACGAGATTTTCCTTCGAACCGTAAAAAAGTAATTCCATTAACGGTAATATTGATTTTAATGGAGGACATGTTTTAATAAGATTGATCAATTTTTCATATTGCATAATTAATATAATAGAAAAGAAATTTATTAGGAACTACTTTACCATTGTTAATTAAAATATAATATGTTATATATATTTTTCAAATTTAACTTCTCTAGCAAAGTCAAAACGACCCATAGGAGGGTTAACACCCGCTCCTCCCCGACAGGGTGCCCTGAATGCAAGTTTTCCAAAAAGCTGGTGGCAGCTTTTCTTAAAATCCGTATAATAAGAAGAACGGTTTGGCCAATGTGGTTGCATTCATGACAATGAGACGTTGACCTCGGTAAACATCCAACGGTCAGCTTCTAGCATTGTGAACGCTGCTTTCTTCTTTAATCGTTACGAATTCCGTCACGGGTGAATTTATGTGCGGACTTTTTGGGTGGCCATGCGATGCAATTCTCGTTGAAAAAAAAAAAAAAAGAAAAATTCAAGAGAATATTCGGGTGTGGATTTTTCGCGCCTTACTCCGCCCTGCGACACCCCTCTAGCTCGAGTATACCGGAAGTGCCAGGTGCACTTTCACTGAGTTTTCACCCTCGAGATCGTTCTCACCCTGAACCAACGACCTTCGACTCTCTTCGAGGTCGCTGGAAACGGTCGTTTAACACCCAGTGAGAGTTTTCTTTTCTATCACTTCATTGAGAGAAATTTCCCATGTCGTTGAATGTTTCAAGTGAACGCGTCGATTAAATGGATTTTGCGCATCATTGAACAAATTATTGTTGATTGGATAATTCTCAAATGCTTTTGATTTATTATTAGCAACTAGTGTACTGGAAATATTTAATGCTTTTCCAGTTATTAGTTTCGAAAATATTCTTCTTTTTATTCAATTGTGAAATTGAAGTTTAGCAGTGTATTAGCCTTACACTTCTAAATTATTTAATTAAAATTCCTCCTTTGTAAAATTGCAACACATGAATTTCTTTTCTCATATATATCACTTATAGCCTCCTGACAAGTTGCTTGCTCTTTTGGGTGCGTACCTTTTTCACGATTCAGTTATGGGGACAGTTATTGTCGTCGTAGAAAATCCTATGAATAGTAGCTAAACCGTGTCTAATTCAGCGACAAATGGGCACATTGTGACTGCCAGCATTGTATCATAGAATAGCAGTGGAAACTACGTTTTAAAGACATGTAAATAGAGAAAACCACAGGGTATTTTTCAGAAAAGCCCACCTACTTATTTCAATGAAGAGATTGAACTGAATTACCAAATCACAGTTACCAGATATCAATGTAATAGAGCAAGAAAATTGACAAATAAACAATAAAATAGTGTTTAGATTAACAACTGAAATATTCAACGATCTTTATCGGTGTTCAAGAAGAAATTAAAGATACCTCTAATTGCATTGTTCCCTTAACGCGAGTATCTTATGAGATAGTATAGATGATAGCTGGTAAACGGGCAGGGAAGATCAAGAGGGAATCTCCTCTAATGATCGCTGACTTAATATTCTCTGAACGTCGATACTCGATTTAACGAGGGCGGCACCGGTGCGGGCCACAAAGCGGGCAGACGCGTGTGCATGCAGGTGAAGCAACGGCCGAGAAATAGACCGGCTATTCTCGATTCAAACTGGGCCCTCGATCGAGAAACGTGCACCCGAAGGAGCTTACCACCGGCCAACAGGAGAAACGCGCGGGAACCTGTACTCGGACAAGCCGGCAGATAAGCAACTTCCAGATAAGATACGCTAATTGAGAGATCTTAATTGGAGCCTGCACAGACCCACCTATGCCTTTTTCTCTCTCCCCGATATACCGCCGCCGTCGCGTCGGAACGACCTCTCCGAAACCATCGTGAATCCTTCGATTTTGTACGAAATTTTTTTTTCTGGTAGCTCTTTGAACGTAATTGTTTTTTTGGGGGTCGTTTTATTATTTTTCTTGGATGTTTTGAAATATCACTGAAGACAGTTTAATAACCATACTCGTATTTAATAATAAAAGGATTGAATATTTTAAATTTAACCCCAGATTCTTAATTCATCTATAAAACATCAAACACTCACCCCATAGAAATTTCGTATTTCTTCCTATAGCCTTGATATCATCTAACCAAGTAGGTATAGGTTTCACATGGAGGTAAAAGACAGCAGTTTCGTCCAGCCAGACGAAAGCGGATCGCAAAGCAGGTATTATCCCGTAAGATAAAGTTTCCGGTGGCGGAGCACGAAAACGTCCGAGGAAGAAGGTAATCTTGGGATCTGGCTACGGGAACGTAGGGTACGGGGAGCCACTCTCGAGCCGTTGGCGAGTGAATCTACGGTTAGCGAGGGGTACGAAGGGGGTAGTCGAGAAAGAAAGTGAAAAGGGGTAGAAGGAGAGAGAAAAGGGGGTGAAACTTAACGGCTTCGTTCGAGTCCCAGACGCGTGATTTCTAGATCAAACACTCGACAGCGTTAAGAAGGAAGTTTTAAGGGGTGCTTATTCGGTCCGTGCGAGAAAAGGGGGTGTCAACGAGCTGCCACGAGGGATAGAAATTTTAGGGGGACCCAATCTTTTTTTTTTTCGGCTGTTCTTCTTTTTTCCTTGATACCCATACGGCGGAGGGTTACGGGGGAAAAGGTATTTTGACATTATTTAAGATGCCCTTCAGATTGTACGGTCGGAAAGAATCAACGGTCGGAATTGAAGTGGCGACGGGAGTGAGCCTTGTATCTACACGTTCCACCCTTCTTTAGATGAACGTAATACCTTGGCGAACTATCACGATAAATAGAGGACCCACTCACCGCTTTCCCGTCCGATCCGATCGCCACGACTTGTTTGATTTTCGCTTTCGGCCTTCGAGTGATTTGAGCGGATTTGCGCATCGATGAGCACACGAGTGCTTCTAAAATCCATTCTCGAGAAGACTAAAATGGTTGCTGGTACCTTAGAGAGATTAAGTTTGGAGAATTGATATAATGCCATTTTCTTGGCTGCTTTCGTTATTCGTCAATTCATTAATTTAGTAGAATCAACCCCGTAGTCTAGTTTTTATTTCGGACGTTCTTATTTTAGAATGGCTTATAAATCATTTATACTGCTTTCTATAAAAGAAACGCTTAAGATCGAAGGGTTGCTTAATTACCAGTATTAAATTACCTGAGAGGTAAATCTCCCGCCGATATTATTGTGTAATAAATTTGTTCACTTTGCATAACTCGTTGAAATAAATCAGACGATAACGACTTTATCACTATGAACTGGTTTAACAGCTGTCCATTTTATATTTACGTTTTACTCAATTTTAAACGTATACTTAATATTATTTTAAATATGTGCAATATATAATTAAAAAAATAAATCAAATTAACCAGAAAATTTTCACAATAAAAATAAAAATTATAATGTAACTTCAAAAAGATTTGAAAGACATTGAGTTATGCAAAGGATGATTATTCTTCGAATAAATTAATTTAAAGGGGTGAAGTTACTCACTCTGCATTGTGGAAAATATAATTTTTTTAACTGAACAAACAGAAAGATGCAGTGACCAATTTACACTCTCCAATTTCATCTGAGCCTACTTCCATCCCCCATGAATCGTTCTAGCACCTACAAGGGGATGGTATCGCCCACATTGGGAAGCACTGAAAAAAGAAAGAATAAAATCGAAATGAAACATACTCGGTTCGAAAGGATTAAAAGAGTACCATTTTCAACTTTTTAGTCTAGGATAAGAAACAATTAAAATAAATACCACACAGATGTAGCAGTGTATGAGCGTGTATTTGACAGTGTTTTTCTCTCTCGTACGGCGGCACACATTATTAGAATTCGCAGTACGTACACGATTTAAGTTGGAATGTTATATTATTGCTAGTTGCTGCCGGACGTACTGCACTCGTTGTTCATTTCTACAACACAAAAACAACATTGAAATAAAAAGTCCCATTTAATTTAAATCACGGTGGTAGTTGGATATTACAATTCTCAGTTACACTCCCATAGAAAAAAAAAAAAAGAACAATTGATTTCTATTGTAATTAAAATTTTGTCGACGTTCAACATTCGCTTCAAATACAAATTTTCAATTTTTCATTTTTCATTTTCGTGCACGAGCGAGGCACGTCCGGGATTTATACATCGACACATCGATTTTTTAGTGGGTAACGGTTGGGCCTCTATGTTACAACGCAAATTACAATGTAGAATAACATTATCATCATCCATCGTCGTCGTCGTTCGTTATACAACAATCATCGTAATAATTATTATCATCGTTTCATTGCGATCGATCATCGTGGTGTGCCTAAAGACAAGTCGGTATTAAATATCTTACAATACACATCATTTTCCATTTATATATATATATATATATATATATATAATATATATATGGTAAAGTGTATATATTATATAAATATGTATTTGTAATATACACATATAATATGTATACTTTACCGTTCTTTTTTTTTTTTCATTTTATTATTCATTATGTATACTATCTATAGGGTAGTCGAATTTATCTATTGCGTTTCATTTTTTCTTTTTATTTATTTATTCATTTTTTTTGCCGTTCTCGTTCGTCGATAGTGAAAAAGTAAAAAACAAAGGAGGAGGGAGCGATGGTTTTGCTTTGATGCTCGAAGTCAAGTCACGCGTCAAACGACTGGGAAATTCGAAAATTTCTACTTTTTTTTTTGTTCTTTTTCTGCTTATTTCAGCGTATCGTGTAAAATACGATACGTGGTTTAAAAAGGATTACCTCGCAAAAAACGCTAAACGTAACTAGACACGTGCCGTCTCGAAATTGACTTGTCGAGAAATGGTTTCGTAATATAAAAAACTAAACGCTAAGAGACTTGACGTCGAGCAGACTGATGACTTATGAAGGACAACAATCGATTGATGAACAATGATTTTTTCTGCAATTTTAATATCATGTAAAACTAAAAAGTGTATTCTACGTTTGCTTTTTCCTGGAAGGAAGATGTCCACGTTGAAAGGGTGAAAACAGTTAAGGGGTTGAAAAAGTTCTGGAAATGATTAAGTGAGTAAAGTTTTCAAGATATTAGAAATAATTTCAAAAACTATTTTCACCCCTTCAAAATGAATATTTTTCTAAAAAAAACTGTGTTGTATTAAAATTGGACTAAAATCAGTGTGGGTCAATCAGGTGATGTCCCTCGTTAATTAACCCATTTACACCTTAATAACGAAAATTAATTTTTCATCCATTTTCATTTTCTGAATTTTATATTGCTGTGTTAAATATTATTTTTTCAATATTCAAAAGTCTTCCACTTGTAAATATTTCATTGTCATATAAAAATCATTGATATTTTTATACACGAGAGAATTTTTGTTAAAACATGTATATTTTTGCAGTGATGACCACTTTAAAATTCCGAAAACCTGGTGCAAATGGGTTAAAAGGGAGTTACACTCGGTCGGGATGAGCAATGCTCTTCGAAGCGTTGCTTGTTGCTAATCAAGTGCTAATTAACTCCGATCAAAGATCCATCTTGTTCCATTGTACCATTACTTTCTATTGCTAGAAACATCATCGCCGTGATTCTCGACGCGCTATGCTTACACATACAAAAAAGACGAGTAGGTTAATTATTATTATCATTATTATTATTTTTTTTTTAGAGGTGGGGTTATAATATCATGTTACATTACAATACATTACACGTTACATTAGTTTCCTGTTATTCAATTACAAAAGCGTCTGATTATTATTATTTATTATTATTATTTCTCTCTTACAGGTCAACTTGCTGGCACTTTAATTCTGTTTCGCGCGTGAAATTTTATCGTGCTTAGCTTGCACTAGGCTACGTACCGGTAGACGAAACTGAGACAATAAAAATTATTTTGACATTCTTATCATATTTAAAAAAAATACTGATTTGAGTAAAAAAACAGACAAGTGCCAAATAAAAAAAAAAAATTGAACGGGTTGAGAAAGATCAAAGACATGAAACAGTAAATGGAACGTCAAAAATTACCGCGGAAATGAATAAAAATAATATTTTATTACACGTAATGGTACTCTCGATTCGTCGAACGGAACGTGGCTTTTCTACGAACAATTTGCCGTCTACTTTTTTATTTTTATTTTTATTTTTATTTTTTTTATTTTCAGCGACACGTACAAACACCGTTCAAGGAGGGAAATAGGACCCCTACGCACTGCCACTGTTCGTCTCTCGATAAACGAAATAAACTAATCAGGTATTGAGTATTTTCGGATTTAACATTGATAACGTAAAAATCGAGGATGAGAAGATATAAGTACAACAATATGAGGATGATGTTGGGAGAAAGAATTAAAATATCCCGAAGAGAAATTTAACCCTTTACTGAACACTTGACCCTTTGTGAAAATGATTTTAATGTTGAAGAAAGTTGGTTAAATGAAACTTTGTTCATGTTTATTTTGACAGTGGTCTAAGTCATTTGTTTTCTGATAAAAATATTATAACTAGTGAGAAAATAATTATTTTTCTATTATGTAATTAGAGATTGAGTGCCCAAATTATTATAATCAGACAAAACAATTACATATTTTATGTTTTAAATGAGTTTAATCATTTTATTATAAAATAATTAATATTAACCAATATGGTAAAAATAAATATATTATTATTCGAAGTTATTTACTTTAATTAAAATGATCATTTTATAATAGTCTTTATAATTATGTAAATATTTTATTTCGATATTATTGTCAAATTTAATAAAATACAAAGGATATTTATAGATTTATTGTAGATTTATTGCTGCACATTTCGTCAATTTATTATGTCATAAGTTATTTTTAATAAATGACATAATTCATTTATTAAAAATATATATGATTAGTTGCTTTCAATGCAAAATAGTTCCTGTTAATTTTGAAAAGTGATTAAAGGTTGCAAAAAAAAAAAAACAAACAAGTTTTATATTCACAGAAGAGATTTATATTACAAAAGCAAGTGTTTTGAAAAATACTTTGTCACATAATGAACCAATATCTTTCAACACACCCAAATGAAAAAGTTTAAATTAATAATAACTTAGACCACCTTCGTAATCATCAACAAATATAACCAACTTTCTTTCCAACTTTATTTTTTAATCTTAAGAATATTTTGATTTTGTTCATGTCAAATAAATATATTTAATACAACTGGTCATCTTTGTTCTATCTCGTTTAAATACACAAAAAAAAATACTGAATTTTATTACAATAAAATAAAAGTTCTACCAAAGATTTTCAGGTGTCCGTGAAAGGGTTAAACGTCAATATTAATACTTCTGCATGCTAATGAACAAACAAAAATTTTATTTATCACATTCTCTAACAGTATTTAATTTTTCTTCATAAAATAACATAATTTTAAACCACGTACATCATTTGTATATTATGCTATTTTCTGGATTATAGGCATGGCACAGTGCAATTTAAAAAAATGATCCTAATCTCATATAGAAAAATCTGATAGCGAATGTGTTAAATTTAAAGAATTTGCTCGTTCATAGGAAACGTAGTGACCAGTAAAATATTCCAATCGATTCGAGGATAGTCATGAAATAAAAAGTAAATGAAAAAGGGGGTTGATGGGATGGGAGAAGAAAACGAAAATAGGGGATAAGTAAAATAAAAGAGAGCAGCGCACGTTTCCATACTCGCAGAGGAAAAGCTTTTCTTCTCGGGTAGTTTGGTTTTTCCATAGTATCTAAACACGATTTCAATAAATAAGCTACCTAGGGAGCGATTTCTTTTTGGGGAAAAAGGGCCGGCCGCTCCTTACGTGGCGAGTCTGCGAACACGAACGGGTTAAAGGTGTTTCTATACCGCTTTCTATAGAACATTACAGAGAAACAAAGGATCTCTCAAAAGATATAGAAACGTACCCTTGATTCCGTTCGCCGAGTCGCCACCGCGTCATCTATTCGTGTAACTAACCTAGTAATACAGTCTGCGATAGCGTCCTAAAGATTAATTCCATTAACGATCAATAATATATATATATTACACGCAGTCACACGCGTTCAGAGGCAAAATACAACACCCTGACACTCCATTATAGGCACCCATCTATTTTAAACTTAGTTTAGTGAATTATCAGGCAAATTTTTATAAATGGACGAAAATGGGGTGAAATTAGGAGGTCTGTGTTAGTTTAATAAATTTTTAAGGTGTATTTTAAACTCTGAGTAATACTTATATTTCTGACTAAAATATAATCAATATTTTAGTGAAAAATAGAATGGATGAGTTTAAAACACTTTTCATTCAAAATAATAAGGTTTCATATTAGGAACTCTTTCTCACAAATACTAATTTTATACTCGTTAATACTTCATTTATTTTTGTAATAAATAATGTTTTTTATCGTGTTAATATTATTCTCTCTTATGTATAAATAAATTATGAGTGTAATTGCATAGTGACATTTAATGCTGTTCCTTTATGTTCCCTTATGTTAAACTAAACATGCATAAATGAGATTTAATGTTATGAATAATTGGATTTTCTTTAAATGAAAAATGGAGTTTTGTGTATTCTGTACACAGAATGACTGGATAATTTAAACTGAATCTAATCAAGGATCCAGTTCATACAATTAGATGTACCAAAAATAAAGAAATGCATAAATCGTTGCATTTCAAATCAGTGATGAATCTAGAGGGGTGGAGTTGGAGGTGATCAACCTAAAGTAGTAAAAAGTCTTAACAAAATTAAGCTTTGTTAGTACCTTAATTTTATCAGATTTTTATACCTTCTATACATTTTTTTAAAAATAAAATAAATTATTTAATTGTACGTACTGCAATTACCTACGTACTGTGAATTTGATTATTTAGGCTAATATCAATAAATAAATTATAAAAGAATGTTTCAAATCCTGTAAAATAGATTCGGAAATATACTTTTACCTATATCACCCCTTCTAAGCAATGCTTCTGGATCTAGCTCTGTTTCAAGTACACCCTCAGGAATGGAGGCCATTACCAGTAGCCTAGGAAGTTACAGGAAATGTGAAATCTGGATCCTCGTTAATTCTCAAAATTTCCTAGCCCGTCCGTCGTTGTTCAAGTGTTAATAAGACGATAAAGCACAAGAAACTTGAAATTTGTGTAAAATATCTGGTGCCCACAGTAGAGTAGTTGCCAGGTACTGTACTTACGCACACAAAACAAAAACTGAAATCAGAAAAATGCACACAAATACTTTTAAGCTCGTACACGAACACGCAGTTTAAGCCGAGACTCTCAAATACTATCTCACTCTCATTCCTATCAGAAAATAGACTTCTGTGTGAATAATAACGCTCGACGCGTAAAGTAATCGCGTTTCAAGTGTGTATACAGTGTAAAATAGATTTAGAGATCCCATTGTTTCTAAACGTTTGTTTTCCGAACAAGTTCACTAAAAAATATATATACGCTATCGCATCTTGTTCTCCTGAAATTGTATACCGATTCATTTTGTCCAAAAAAGTTTCTCTCTCTTTGTATGTGTGAGTGTGCGTTTTCATTTTTTTTTTTTTTTCTGTCTTGTGGGAGGAGCAATCGACATTCACACGCATGTCGCGACTCTCGTTCGTTATAAATAAGAGTAAAAATTCGTCAGGTGAACAAAGCAGCTTGTATCAATCGCAACGCGAGCATCGACATCAATGCGACGGTAAGAACTGCGTGTACGTTGCGAGCACGCACGCACGCACACATTATTCATACACGCAGGCACGCATGCACGCACGCACGCTAAATTAGGCGGCGTAATTAGCACAGCGAGCGAGAGAGTGTTTGGCGCGGCGTGAGCTCTACTGCGCGAGCGCGTAAGAGGGTTACATTAATTACTTTTTTTTTTCATCTTCAGCGCGCACCTTTCTTTCTTATTACTTTATTTAGAAATATTCTCTTTTTCGAACGCGATTCAAATTCATAATTCGTTCGTTAAATTCGATTTCTTATTTTTTTCTCTCTCTCTCTCTCTCTCTCTCTCTCTCTTTCCTCTATTCTAAGAAAATATTTCCACGAGGGTGCACCGATTCTCTTTGTAACTCTCCACGCATCTAATCGCGATCTATGACAGCGCTTGAAGCACGATAGCTATCCGATTGCGCAACGACTTAGGCCGATCGTGCGCAACTCAATTTAATCCTCCATCGCTAAACGATCGAACTCGCTTCATCCGGGTGCAAGAAATTTTTCAATATCATCCCTTAACGGAACCGAAGAATAATGTTTCGTATCGTACGGATAAAATTATTTAGCGATGGAAACGAATACGTGAAATCATGATATACATGTACAATATATATCGTGCAATATATACTTGCCTGAAGAAGGATTCAGTCGGGGGCAAGTGTGAACGAATGGAATCTAAACGAAAGTTCTAACACACCAGCAAGACTGTCTTCCTGCTAGTTCGTCCGTTTTAATATATTTGATTTTTTTTCTCTTTCCAACGTGTCGGGCGTCGATCGAAAAAGGCAAACAAGCAGGAGACATAAGGCGAGCCAGCTGTTTGTTTCATTTTTTTTCTATCATTTTGTTCGTTGCGATCAATCGAGGCGCGTGCTTCACGTGGTGCCGCTTAGTGGGTTCCTGATATCTTGACCGTACGTTCCACCAGCGTATTTGGCAGTCTGATCTCAGGTTCTCACTGATGTGGAGGAGGCAGTCTTGATCGGCGAGCCGAAACATGGCTCAATAGTTGCTGGCCTCGACGAACAGACGACTATCGTGTCGTCTTCGAGGCGTCTTCCAGTGATTCGAATGCCGATAACGATGCGTGTAAACGATCCCCCTTGCATTGTCGACCTGCGACAGGGACTTCTTTTTCGCGGCCCTCATACCAGCTGACGGTTTCCTAGGTGTAACGTATGGTTCGCGTGGATCCATACCGCCCATGTCAGCGTTCACCAGGTTGTTGTGGTGATTGATGTTGGCATGGGGATTGTACTTGATGAAATTGAAGCACTCCTGTCGACCTCGAGTACTTCTCATCTGTTTCCCACCCTTGTTGAAGCCTATGTACCGCGAGCTGTCTACCACGCTTCTGTAGGTTAAGTACGAGCCGTTGTAGTCCTCGTAAAACTGACACATGGGACCCTTATGCTTTTTCGGCTGGAAACATTCGAAGAGAATCGTCTGTCAGATTGATTCATATTTTTCAAATATAAAAATGCAGAGATTCTACGAAAGTATTGGAAAAATTAGAGAAATTAAATCGCTGTAATTAATTAACGATTTCTCCAACTACCCCTTAGTAAAAGCGATTATGCGATTGATTAATATAAATATCTGAACTAAATATGATAATTAAATATGTCTACTAATTGGTAGGCGAGTTATTACCAGGGCTACGAGTTTCCACCGCTTGTTGAAGCAAATGTATTTTTGACTCTTCTCCGCAAAGATGTACAACTTCCTACTGAAATCTTCGGATTGCGTTGTAAGTTTTTCTGAAACATAAAATATAAAATGGATACGGTTATTGAAAGTCTGGCAAATTTATTATCAAATCTTGAAAAATTACAATTTGAAAATTAATAACAGTTGCATGGCAGCTGAGACGAAACGAGTTGCCAGGAAAATTCAAGATTGGTTCATCGAATGATTCGAAGGTATCGGTTATCGGGGAGAAACCGCAGGATACAGGAGGTAAACCGTTTTGTCCGTTCGGTATGCGAGCTGGCATATTTCCGAGAAGAGGTCTCGTCGAGGTTTATGGCGCAAGTTGTACCTACATCGATGTTCGTAGACCCTCTTCCAGCCACTTCTTCGACATTGAGAAAGGAAGAAAAGGTTGGCTAAGCCTGCCGCCGTGGCTAGTTGGTGCTAATGAAGGAGGCACAGACCGACCGGTGTGTACTTTGCCACTTAGCGGGTCCTGTCGACCCCGCAGCGTGCACGTTGCGTCGTGGCTCGGTGCAGCGGCATGTCTCTCCCCTTTTCTTTCGCACCAGCTATTACGAAATTCTGCCGACCGAGAAGCAGGCGTCCTTTGTTCCGGATAACGAAAGGTAAAAGAGAGAAAAAAAAAAGGTAAAAGAAAAAATAGAAGGCTGCCTTTTACAGGTGCACAATTCCGAGCTTTGCCATTGGGAAGGACGGAACGCCTTTATGGTACTAGCTGAGAATACTGTACTTTCTAACGGGATTATTTTATTTACGCGTCTGTAAATGAGATTTGTAATGGTGGATATGGTGGTGGTGACTACCAGAATTTTGAGCTTCACCGTCGACCAAAAATTTGAAAGCGTTTTATTGAAGAATAATTTGAAGGTTCTCGCTTTTTGAGGCCAAGTATTGAAAGAGGCCACAAGATTTTAGAAAATTGCTATACCACTTGCCCTTAATGAATTCATAATTTGAATTAATTTTGAATTTTTGAAAAATAATTTCTTTTCATCCATTTCCTTTTTTTAACTATTCGGAAATTTTGTAGATTAATAAACAAAATAGATATTTTTCATATAAATATTCAGTTTTTTACGTGTGAGGTGCTGTATATTCGTTGGGTCAGAGTGTCAACACACGAAGTTGTGTTGCTTATTCTTTATTCAATAAAAATTCCTAAGGTACAACGGTGTTTCAGTTATTGATGGGATATTTCAAGTGACAGGTGCTAGGCTTTCCATTTCGAGCAAAGGACATATCGAACTTCCAGGAATGTGTGAGTTGTAATTTTATACACCGTATGATGATTACAGGAATGACAAATATTCTTGCAAATGTTGCAATGAAAATTTCTACACGATATATGCATTATCCATTTGAAGACTTTTATATGGATAAACGAAAAGAATGAACATTGATTATTTGAAATTGACTTCAATTTGAAAGGTACATCGACAGATTTTGTATATGTTCAATTTTTCAGGGGGTAAGTTACCCTGGAAATATGAATCTGATAGGTAATTTTAAAAATAATCGCATTGATTGATGCATAGGGTAAACTATATAGTGATTGACATCAAAAGCGCCATTCGAATCGACAATCATATGGCACATTTATGTAAATTTTTCGATCCCTTTGCCATAAAATGCGTGTGGTGGTTTCGAGACAAAACACTCGGGAAGGTCAGGGCATTTAGTTGGCAATCTAACAGCGGAGGGAAGAACAAATTGCTTGGTCGACCGAAAGGAATGCCACTGCGATAGACGTTCGCTGAAAGGTGAATTCAATTAATTAAGGAAAGTGGCGCAATTAATTGGCGGTGTGTATAGACTACGGAAGGTTTGTCAGAGGGCAGCGTCAAATTAAGTCCTCTCTTGCTTTTTCTCGTTCCTGAAGACTGTTAGGAGGCGGTGAAAGAAAAAGAAACAAAGAGGAAAGAAATGTAAAAGGGAAATAAAAGAGGAAAAGAGAGATGAACCAGGAGTAAGAAAGAGAGACTTTACGAGGCAGTTCGGGGACATTCTTGATTTCGATGTTGTGAAGGCACCCGACGAGAACCACTTGAATTTAACGAGGTTCCAGCAAATGGGCCACCCTGCAGACTTGCCTCCTTCCTTTTCTCTACGCACCGTGCTTATACTCATTCTCGTGTGACCCGCAAACGAAGAAAACAGAAAAAAATCCAACATCCTCGGTACTTTTTCTCTTTCCTTTTACCGTCAAGCTTCTATCAATTAAAAAAAATTCTTCTTTCGAAATGCAAACGGAAGTTAATTACTTTCTACTGCTATTCATCATTCTATAAGCAACAACTTAATACAAATTTATCGACATACCTTCAGCGACAGTTTGCAATATAAAACTGAATATTATCGTCGTTTCCTTTGAACTTGATAAAACTTTACGAGAATGTATTAAGTTAAGTGTCGTTTAAGCCGTTATCGAATCAAGAAATGACCGACCGGTTGAAAACATTTCCACGAAATCGGCGGAGTCGAAACAGCTCAGGGATATACACAGCGGGTTATTACGAACCGCAAAGTTCCGTTCGCGAGTACGGGAAAACAAGTTGGCGAAACTGTCGGCAGAATTTTCCTTCTTCCGTTTCAGCTGCGTTAGCATTGCAGTATGAAGGACGACGTACGTATGTATGTACCTGGGCAGTAATGGCGGAGGAAAGTACGACGATAACAAGCTGACACTAATACCAGCGAGTCGGAAAATGATACGTAGACGCTGTTTGTTCGTTCCAGTTACCCATTACCGAACTACTCTATACTTCCGATATATACTCACGGACGTCGTCGTCGAGGCAATCGGGACCGAAAGTTTGCTTCGTTTTCAAACGATGCTTATCGTTATCAAATAAAGGAAGCGAGACCGTACTCAGCCGAGCCAGTCAGGACAGTGACGACTATGTACGTTTGTTAAGTAACTTGCCAGACGTACGATCGACTCGAAACAGGCGTTACCGGCGCCCTGATTCCGATGTTTTGTCTGAGAAACTAGAGAACAGTCTCTCGCGGTCTTTGAAAGCTTGTCAGCAAAGTTTCCTTGCACAACTTGGACTGAAATTATTCAATTCTACGATTCCTCTGAAACTTTACTGAGACGTACAAAATTATTGAATTTTTTATATAAATTTTAGACAAAAGTCAAGATAATATCAACCTGAATACTATCAATAATTTTGTGTGTCCCAAAATTCAACCCTAAAGTTGAAGAAAATTTCCAACGCGATAAGTAGTTCTGTTGTGTAATAAATAAAATTTGTACCCATCTCTTCGGTCGACGGACGATCAATTGATATTTCACGTTGAATTTATGACAGCGTTTATTCACGGTACACAATGTAACGTTCGGTGAACGAGGGGATGAAGAAGGAGCAACTAAATATTTCGCTTCGAAGCTCTGTCTTCTGTTCCCGAAAACTTCCTCCCCCAACCCCGAATTCTGAATCGGTCTCGTTTTCTCTGATCGGAGCCGCCACGAGATTAGAGGCTGCCAAATGAATTAAAAGCCAATTTTAATCAAAAGCGGGCACCGGCTTTTAGGCACGATTACCCCCGATAATAACTGGTAGGATGGGCCCCGCGTATAAGTGGGAAAGAGCGAGACAGAAGGAAAGAAGAATGGATCCCATATATTACTTCTACGTGCTCCTCGCGATACAGGAACCGATTCTTCGTTCGTTATAGGTTCGCAACTAATAGCTTTTTTTTTCTTTCTACAGGGAACAAAATACCCCGAAATCTTTTCCTTTCTACAGGGTGTCTTTCAGTGCCCTAACAAATAAAAATCTATTTAGACAAAATATGAATGCTTGATTTTTTTCATTGTTATAAAATCACAAATATTAATATTAAAATAAACTATAAAATTTTTTCTTAAATTTAATAAAAATCCACTTGATGAAATCATCAATTTTGAAGCATATGAATATACGTATCTTCAAAAAGGCTGTGATCTAAATTTTGGAATTATAAAAATATGATTTATATCAAGCATCAATAAATTAAATAAATAGATTCATAGATGAATTAAACCCTTCTTATTCTGTACTTTTATCCATGAATTGAGGAAAACATCCCGGCGTATATATTTATCTGAGAACCACTGGAACGCCACAATTTCGCGGCGTCGGCGTTATGAAAGCTATAATACGACGTGAAAGCGAGTAGGTTGGTACCGACCGCGTAAGCAAAGGAATAAGGGAAATAAGAGCTAAAAAAGAGAAAAAAAAGGGAAAACACGCGTATAACCGCGGTTCTTGTTATAAGCCTGGCACGTATAATAGCGATCCTATCGTTAACACCTAAATGCACGATTGGCCTCAGCACGCACGACCATCTTCTTCATTTTCTTCCTTTCTTTTTTTTTTTTTAAATGCACAAAATTACAAAGGAACGTAAATGAAAAGAATGCACCGGTTGTCCCAGGACGGATTAAAATTATGACAAGTGAAACCCTGATTTGCTTGGCTGACACGATAATCACAGCTCTCTGCGACTAGAATAATTAAATTCCAGGTTGAACGAATGCCTCTTCGTCTCCCAATATGGATCATTTTTCTTTTTCTTTCTCCTCCTCGCATGGGCCAGGTAAGGTGTGATTTCCTTCTGACTGGAGGAGAGAACCTCGGTCAGTCATTTAAGGAAATTAAAATTCCTCTGTGATAAAAATATCACAATAATAGATTTAATTATATCCGTGACTCTAGATTCTTTGGTCGAGTAATAAAGAGTTAATAATTAATATTTGTCTTCGTCATCAATAATAGTTATTATCGAATTATCCTTGACACGTACGTATTACCGTTCTATCATTCGCTTGTAATAATTATTTTAATTTGTGTGTTTAGTTGAAGAGATCCTGCACTGACGTGTAATAAAGTGTTACGAAGGGCATACAAATTATTCGTTGACAAATACATTTATAATAATATATGATCGTACAAATTTCTTTATAATTCTTGTATTATTAATTTATTTCCGATGGAAGAAAAAAGATTTGTCGATTCCACCCTTTGGACGACGGACCATGGAGAGAAGCCGAATTTAAAAACTAACAGAACAGATAAGCTGGATAAAACGGTGGTTCTCGAAGCGAAGCTGACTAATTAGCACCAAGTATGCAAACAAACAATTTTCCACGCGAGGCTAATTATCTAGGGGGGAGGGGATCGGGTGCCGCACGAGGAATTCACGTTCGCCAGTTAGAATTCAAGGTTTCAAGGACTCTCTCACGGTGTGCGAAATGGTGAAGCGGAGTCGGTTCGTTTCGTTTCGCGAATGGAGCTTGAGTAATCGCCGGTCAGAAGAGGCTCGTTGTCGAGAGTAAAGTGGCGAGTAAGGTAGGAGATGCAGAGTAACAGAGGGAAAAGGTGGAGGCAGAACGGCAGCAACGGCAGCAAGAGGTGGAAAAAGAGGAAGAGGTGGACGGAAGGTGATGGATCTCGGGGAGGTGCAGACGCGGCTCAGTGTGCGGCGCGAAAACTGGCTCCTCTGTTTGCACAAGCCTTCTTCCCTCCTTTCGGACCTTCCTTTTTCCCCCCTACCTTACGGGTCAGAAGAGGAGCCGCCTAACGTTCGCGTTGCGGATAGGGCGGACAGCTTGTTGTTTGTATTCACCATGGACACGTTTGGGAATTCCAGGTTACCATGAAATCCCTACGGTCGAAATACAAATTCCACTTTCCACCTCTGAAATCTCAATTCCTTTGATCTTTATACTTTCCGACGTCGAAGACTAGCAAGAGAATTTTCGAACGATCAGATTTTCAAAATCGACACAGTATCAACTGATAAGCGAAATACGATAAATCTTTTCCATAGTTAAAATACCAAGCTTTCTCCATAAACGACTGAAATTCGATTTCCAAGGAAAATGGCCATGAACCCTGAGACAATGGTACCTATAAATAAGGAGGATAAAGAGTACCAGATAAACAGTGTCTGGTCGAAAACAATCACGAGTCAACGATACGTTGTATTTCATGGAAAGTCTTCAATGGTCACTTTCGAATCTTTCTCCTTCTGTACGAGGGGAACAGAAATCGGTTATTAGTTCGTAAAGATAAAATTGTGGCTAGGATGAGAGGTATAGTGGCGTATGGTAGCGAAAGCGAAGGAGATAAGGCCCTGACCCTAGGTCGCTCGATAAGCATCGCTATAAATTAAGATCTTTAGTGCCATAGCTTGAGACATTTATTTCCTCGAGAAGTGCGCTACCCTTTCGTTCGGAATCCTTTTTAGTCCGCGAGACTATCGATCAGAAGAGATAACGTCACGGTCGAGTGCCTCGTGTCAGACAATTACCCGATTTCATTCAATTAACCGATCGACCTGTTCTGTACAATGACCGCACACGTTGAGACCGTTCGTTTAGCACAAAATTCTCTAAATAATGATGCTTCTGTTTTATTTTAGTTTGGTTCCTAAATTGTTCCCTTGCGGGCACTGGAACGATTCATGAGGGTAGTAGCCTTAGATACAATTTGGGGGCGTATGTGAAGTATGAGGGTGGTAGGCCAAATAAATCTGTTTTTAGAAAGAAGATCCTAATTGAGACGAAAGTATCACCGATATCTACCTAATCTACTATTTTTTAACCCTTGCATAATGAACTGCTAAGACAGTAACAATTTGATATTTCTTTTCATTTTCGTAATTTTATATTAATTTCCCAATAACATTGTACACTAAAATAATGTGATTAATTATACTCTTACTTACGGTAGGGTGCGTTGCTTTCATTGCGTCCCTCGGCCTTGACTGTGCGGTTAATTACAGTGACATTGCCGCTGCTGCAAGTCGAATACAGACTCACGGAGCGCACCATTGCCGGTACCGCCCCGCACATCACCACCTGAAATCAAAAAATCATTTTTTGTCAGAGAAATTGTTGCCAAAATAAATAAGAAATTTCACTGGAAGTGTTATTAGAATTTAGAATTTTATTTCAAAAAAATTCATCATTCGAACGCTAATAAGAACCAGGTTTTAGGGTTAAGAGCAATTAAACGTTAAATAGCGTTTAACGAATGTCAAATAAATGGCACCAGGTTCCGAGGAGATCATTAACTCTCAGCATTTTGAAAAGGATGAAAGAACGATCCGCGAGACGTGTTTCCAGCTCGACGACCGAACGTGAAATCGTTAAAGACGTCGCAGGCTCCTTCACGACCGTTCGCAAGAACATTTTTACGATCGATTCACATATCACGGCATCGAATCATTCGTTGAGTCGTTCCGTGTCCGATCTTTTTTGCGATTCACTCGCGAGAGTAAAAATCCACGGTTATCGAAGAGAGACAGAGAAACGTCGTTACAGCTGAGACCACGAAAGATTGTATACCGACGAAAAGATTTGTTAACGAGCGAACACGAGCTGTCCATTAATGGTCGTAGAATCTGACACTTCTTTTTATTTCGCGAGCGGCGCCGTAACAATGTTATGACGGCTAAACGAGCTCGTCCGGACGGACCAACTAAACCCTTTGCTGCTTTGTACAAATTCAAAGTATCGTTAAAGTGATTAAATTCCTTCTTTATCCTTTTAATAACACGAAAAAAAAATGATGAAACATTAAGGAGATTCTTGTATTTTGTCAAATATAAATAAATTACAAGCTTCATTAATTATTTGGTGTACAAATTATTTCTGTACCTTTCCTCTTTTTAATTAAAAACAAAATTATAATGAATTAATAAAAAAATTGAAATATAAAAATACTGTAATACCTAATTCAATGGAGTGGATAGAAATAAGGTAAGTAATAATGGTATAGAAAGTTAAATGTCCGAAGAACTCGACACCAGCTGTCAAAGTGTCAATTTATTTAATATACGTAATAGAATCTAATGACAATCTGCTTCAATTTCTCTTGGAAACCGATCACGATCGAAAGTGCGGCTAAGTCTGACCACCGGTACTATACTACTACTAAACCATTTTATGACAATGAGGTTGCTGCACGCAACGTATGCACCTCTGCGTGGCTGCATTGCAGCCGTTGCATATGCAACGACAAGGTTTAATTAATTCCACGGCATCGTTACGAAGGTCGCGAAGAAACGATTCCAATTGCGAATGAAATGTCTTCGCGATATCGTACCTCGGTCATTCGTTAAATTCTCACTTAATTGTTGTCGTTTCCATTCGCCGCGACGTCGACGAGGAACAACTAAATTTATTTAAAACGCGCCGACCGGTCATTTAATTATTTATCGGACTGACGAACCGTTTACTGCGTCGCTCGCAACCGGTATCGAGGATGCATAAACATTATTTAAACGCAGTTTAAATCTGCTCCCCGATAATTCTGTCTGAATCGTCATCGTTTATCGGCCAGGATGCATCGACCGTAAATCTAAATTGCAATATTTCGTGCTCGTTCGGTTATCATTTATTATATCCTTAATAACGACAAAACGAGAACGCTAATTTCTCTAATAAAAATATGAAATCCGTACGTCCGTCATTTTAATGGATTTGTTTGGTATAATGTTAATCTGTGCCGGGTAAGGTGGTATCAAACGTAATCGCCAATTTACCTAGTATTAAAGTGACTTTCAGCACGCGATTATAGCGGAGGTTCGCCTCTTCCAGAGGTATCTTTGATCTGACCTAGTCACTGTTCCTGTACAAAGACCTGGCAGCCGTGTATTATCCCCCGTACATATCTATCGAACAAGTAAAGTATGCAAAAGTTCACGGAATCGGCACGAACGTGGCCAAAGCCCTCGTTCAAATTTTACACGGCTCGTTAGAGGCGGCGAATCTAGGCCAGCAGTATTTCCCGAGAACTATGAACGTAGAGCGAAAACACCCCTGACAGCAGGAATTCTTTTTTCCACGTAATCGCCGGAAAGTAGAACGATCCTATCTCTCTGTTCCGTGAATATAGGTGCATCTGTTTCGTGTTTTCATTTTGAACATTTCTATTTCGAGAATAATAGCAGCTGTTATCACGGAATGATTTTATTTTCAATCGAACTTGTGTGCTTTGTGAATTCAAAATTTTTTATATGGTATTAATGACTCTTTTAGGGTTTTTAATATTAAATTATAATACCTACATCTACAGGGGAAAATGTTAAAAATTATAGTGTCTTTATTTTCCCAATCCTAAATAATATTGCAAATTTGTTAAAACTATTATTTTTAAAGGGGTCACTCACCATCAGGAGGCACAAAATCTTCGCTAAAACGGCAAGCTGTGGTAACCTGGAACAAAGAAAAAGAAAAATCTTGTTAATTATATTTGAATTTCTATTAAGTATTGAATGGATTTATTATTAGACTGAGTAGAGACATCCGGAAGAAAATTTTTCCAATTAATATTTGCTATTACATTTATGAGATATCAATTGATGGCACGCAGTGTAATCATTCGTGATCTTCGAATGATTTATCGTATGCAAATAAATTTCACATGATTACGGAGTACGGTCCCACGCGACGGAGGTTACTATTAGTAGCGGTACAAATTGAAAGCATCGGACGCGGTGGATCGCTTCTGACAGATAAGGAATACATATACGAGATAATTAGTAGTAGAAATAAATTACGGCGGACAGATTGTAGCGTGGAGGCTAGTTCACGATTCCTATCTTCGTTGCGAAACGTTAATAATATTCCTTTAAGTGACACTACGTCAAAAATTACTCCTTGCAATTTCTGCTTCTAATTTATACACGACAGAAAATCCTGTTCGTTTCATTCTTAAATTATTAACTTCATTGCTAATTGTAAAATTAATACAAATAATTAAGAAAGCGTAGTACTAGAAGCGCCAAATTAATTTGTACACTTAATAATTATTCCAATAATTTAATCAAGGTATTGAAATCAAGGGTCCCCAGATGAAAATCAAAAAGTTGGCAATCTTAGATCTACCGACAAGCGAATAATAACCCATTGGAATTAAAGTGAACGGATAATGAACATTTCCAGCGTCACTGCTGCCGCCGGTGTTTCTGGTCACCTATATTCTGTAACACGAGATGCATTCGCATTATGCAACCCGGTGCAGTGGCTCACCGCATGCACCTCGTACGCAACTGGGTTATTATTTACAAGCGACAGCGTTGCTCTTAATTTCCACGTTTCCCGATTTCCTCTTTTCACCACCGTAAATCTGCGACATTGATAGAGGCAAATCACAACCTTGTTTTTTAATGTTTCAATCTGGTACCGTGTGATTTAACAGGCCGCAATAAATACAGACGACCGATAATTATTCTCGAGAAAGTATAGACTGTAGAAAGTGAAACGTTGTTTACTAGATCGATAAACATGCTGTTTAATGCAAAATTACTAGGTGTTTTCGTGTATTTGATATTTGGAGCTGGTAATTTATGAGATACCTGGTTAAATAATTACCATTCCAATACCTATAAGCTACAGAAATGGATAAGATGTACCTAGTAGTTAAAAATTTCAATCTGAAAATTGATTGTTTTAGGTTTTCGTCGAAAGATATTGATAATAAATGAAATAATCTTCAAAGAATCATTGTATTAAAATTACAATAAATCTCCAATGCACTTTCACTGCAAGAGCCAAGGTGTTAATTGATTTTCAGATAAAATCAAAAAGTCTATTAATAGACTTCCAATTAGCGAGGTGTTAAAGATTTGACAACTTTCAATACCAAATTTGTTACGTTCCATTTGGTAGTAAGAAGTTTTGCTTGGATCATAAAGCAAAATTTGCATCATGCTCCTGTACATTTATCATCAGGCGTTCAGTGCGATATACATCAAGTCATAATGTGCAGCACGGTGCAGCACGGTGCAGCAAGCGCAGTCGACTCGAATTTCGTGGCTTAATTGCATTGGTACGACTGCCACGGAAGCTTCAAATGAATACTTGACCGAATACGGGCCGTAGTACACGCGTAAGCGTTTCTCGAAAATTAATTGGTGTCCTGCGAAATTACGAAGATCCGTTGAAAGTGCTTTTCAAATGCGATGAAACCGATATTATAACTTTGCACGTGCAATGATCCTTACCACAAAGATTTTTAAGATTATCTTAAAAGTTGATGAAATTTTAAATAACAATAAATATTTAAATGCACTAAAATAAAATATTTGCAAGATAAGAATTTAACTGCAATTACTTTTCTAACATTATTATATATAGATATATGAAGCAATAATTATTTAACCCCTGCACGACGATTGCAGAGTCATCTTGACCCAGTTATAAAAATAAGAAAATGCAAAATATAAAAATTTTATTACCGGAGCTCGAGTAAAAAATATAATATTTACACATGAAAATGACCACACCCAGAAGTAAGGATTAAATATCCTGCTGTCCGAATTGGAAGTCCAAATTGGAACTCCGCGCAGTAACTTGTTATTTATGATCAAAAAAGTAAGTTCGCTAAAATTTATCGTTAACCGAGTGAAGTATACTGTAGGAGACCTTTCGTTTTATAATTTTCATCTGTTCAACCCCATGAAAAACGAGCTTACAAAAACGGTTACTGAAAATTTCTCCAAGAGAAAATAAGAAAACTGATACCATGCCATGATAAATATTTAAATAAATTTAATAATTATGTACAAAAATAGCTCTTCAAATATTCAATGTGCAATTTTTTTTTTTTTTTAATTGAACTCTAATTAACTTTATTTATTCTTTCTGATAATAATATACCCATATAGAATATACCCCCATAACTTTATTAAGAGAAACCCTGGACACCCTGTAGATTGCTAAAGCAATGACTAATTTCTCAATCCCGTGCATCGTCCATCATTGATCTTTCAACTGGAAGCGTTAATGAGTATTCAATTCGCCGCGATTGCCGTTTACATAATTGCAAAGTTAGTCACAGTAACGTTTCGCTGACACAGCCATCTCGTTAACGACCATGGATCAAGTTGTACAGTGGAATACGCTTGACCATATTCCACTACGAAGGTATTCATGGTATCGAAAGGCGTGGGATATATTAACATTCGAATTTCTCGGCGATCGTTACGTAACAAAGAAAATGTTAAATCGTCAATGTTTTATTGGCGGAGAGAAACCGAGGGGAAAAGGAATGATAACAAGGAAAACAGCCGTAGACTATGAGGCACCGATCATAATGAACAACAGCATGCTCTCCGTGAAAAATCCAGTATTTCCAGTATTTCTAGTATCGACGAAGAAGAGTTGTAGTTGTCATTGAAGTTGAATGGGAAGGTGGGACTTCGAGGGCGATTCCGCCATTCCGAATATTTCCATCATCGATTCGAAATCTGATTTGCATACATTAATGATAAAATGAAAATACAATGATTATTCTCTTTAAATTTTAAAAATAATTTTCAGAGAAACGATGTAAAATTTAGAAAATTTAATTAAAATTGGGGTTCTCTTCATGGTCAGAGGGTTAAATAATTAGCACTGCAAGTACAAAACCAAATATAAGGAAATCATGCAATTATGATTAATAAAAACTTTGAACCATCTGATTTATTATCAGATTCCTTATCAGTAAAAGTGGTGTAATATCCGGCAGTTCAAAGTTTGTTTAAAAAATTCAGAAATTTGATCGGATCAGAAATATTTTACGACAAAATAAATCAATCAAACAACAGTGACAGTAACGAACCAATGAATGAACGTTTCGTTACCAATTCGGTTGGAAACAATATTTTATATGCTACTTCAGCACGTCATTAAGACTGTCGTAACTCACCAAACTGCCGTAAACATATCTGCGTGTCACCGCTTTGAAGTGTCATCTCAATCCATGCACGGTAAGTTAAAGAAATCGTGACACTGATCCGACTTAAAGACCGAGATATTTTCCTCTATCCTCCTGGCAATACATCAGCAACTTTTTTAGTAGAATTATAAAAAAAAGGGACCACACGAAATTTACGACCAATAAACGTCACCGTCGATAATTCACGACTTAAACGGTTCCAAGTATCACCTACTTAATCAAAAATCTAACACCGCACAGCATTCAAGAATTTTCTCTCGAATTCACTTATTGATCCGGCAAACGTTATTATCAGTTTAGATTTGGCAATACTCGAATTCATCTATGATTACGCGACAAGATTCCTCAGGAATCCGCTCGGATTAGCCTGGATTAAGTGGCTTTGTCAACTGCTTCGTAATGCTGACGTAATGGACGAACCGAACAGCAATTCGATTGATTTGATTGACGAGTAACTATGTCGCGTACGCGAAGGAAAATATTTCCACGATTTATAAGAAGATCAGCCAGGATCCGGAAGAGGAACACTGGGAAACGAGATTTGTTGTCACCGGCACGAGACCAGCACGATGAATGCTGCCGAGGATACAATCCGGCGTAACATCCCCGGCCACGTGGGGACTCATCTAAAGGGGATTTTAGTGGGGATATTTGTCGCCTGCCGCGTGAAAAACTGCCAACACTTGAATAGGCCCCGACACGCCGATGAAAAACGCGACTACTGACCCGACGCCGATGCCTCTCAGCTGGACACCGCCTGTCGGCTAGATATACCAAGCCTGGATCCCCGTGGATGATTCCTTCCTACGTCCTAACAAGCGACAACGTCTTCCCGATCACTCCCGTAGGATAATGATTCCTTGATTCGGTACCATCTACTATTAGGTTGTTCAATGTCAAATGGTGACACGTATGGTACGGCAATTCGAAGAATAAAGTTTGATGAAAATTATTAGTAGCTAATTATTTATTAACACTGAACGAAATTCACTTCCCTAATAAATTTAATGTAAATATTATACTTTTATACTTTTTAAGAGAACCATTGTTAAAATTATGAAATAACATTTTGAGACCTTCCGGGTGGCTTTACCCTTAAATAGAACATATTTCTCTTTACGGAAAATTGTGCCGTTACGGAAAAGCGAAGAAAAACGTCGACGTCTCTATTGATGGAACCACGAAATTTACTACATACCTTCCTAGACACCGAAGCACGAGCCGAGCCGTGCGAACACCCTTAGGAAGCATTCAATCCACGAGAAAGTCACCTGGCGTCACCGACAATGGCAGATCCCAAAATGTTCCTTAAATACTCCGTGGTAAGTTGCGACAAATCACTCGTATCAATGAATTTTCGACGGCAGCGGTAAACTGTCGTGACTAATCGTTACGATAATACAATGGCTCGACACCGTAACGTTCGTAATTGACGAGTAATAGGCGCAATCAATCTTCTACAAAATCAGCCGATAAAGTTAATCTGAATTGC